TTTTCAAAAATATGTCGCAAGTGTGGTCTTTTCTCTAAACAATTACTTCTTAACCCCTTCATCCTTGATGCTTTTATTTGTTGAGTATTTCCTGCTTCCATTTAAAACGCCTCTTGAGATGATTGTCTTATCCCTCTCTATTAGTCCACTTATATTGCAGCTACACTGCTTCCCAATTGGCAAGATGTAAGCTACATTTCTGCAGAACCTAGTTTATTTCCAAACTTGACCAGCAGAGTTGGTCTTGTATAGTTTTACAGTTGCTTTAAAAGTTGCTTTTTTGACTTTTTAGTTGTTAGCTGTATAGTTGCTAGTTAGGAAACAAAAACAAATTATTTATAATTGCATTTAAGTCAGGAGGATGTCCCAAAGGACTGGACAGTCGAGGGTTTCACCTGAGCTGGTGGTTGGAATCAAGAGGAGCGGAGGGCAAAGGGGTGTTTGCTATTTGACACCGCATTACACAAGTAGAACAGCCCATTTCAACTTGACAGAGCTTGAAAAACTACTCTTACGTATGCCAAATAAGGTCAGAGAGAATAGAATATCTATAAGAATGAAAAACTTCTTTGTTTTGCTGAATTTGTAAGTTGACATTTCAAGCAGTGAACTTGAGGTTTGTTGATGAATGGTGTATTGTCTTCAAGTTAGAGGAGAAAAATGCACAAGGGAAGGTCCATATGCACTAGATGAAGGTAAACTTTGTCTGAACAACATATGTGGCTGGAATGAGTACCCTTTATTCTCGGCCCCCCAGTTGTAGCAGAAATAGAGAATGTGTGGGGGAGTTATGTATTATTCAAGTATATATTTTAACAGCAAGTTTTTACTTCTCCAGATTTTAGCCAAAAGTAAGTTTCTTTTACAGCTGACTAAATTCTTTTACAAAATGGCCATGTGAGTGCATCCGATCACCGTGTGCACATTTTTAAACTTGGGTTGAAATTTTTACAGGTTTTCACCCTTGAACATTTTGTTACTTTTCAGTTTCTTGGTGAAGTGAAAAACAAACTGCCTCCGTGTACTCACAAACCAGCAACTTCATCAAATACTAGACAGACTCTAAATGTTTTCATTAACGGCTTGATTTGAAGAATTTTTAATATCAAATTTGTGGCTCGACGAATAGCAATTCCAAAATGCATTTGAACATACAAACCTCTATGATTTTAAAAAAAAAACAACTTTGTACCACTTTTTTTTAAAAAAAACTTTCGCAACCACATAGGGTGATTGATGACTGTGTAGTTGATTTCTTCTCATGACCTTTATGAATGACTTTCAGTATTTTGCATGTGAGATTATGAGCAATACTTGCTTTTCAAAAAGCTTCTATCTTGGCTCATCTGATTGTTTTAATTTTGCTGACTGCTGTTAATGGTGTTCTGACCTGGTGACCAATGCAACTGTTCTCTCGATTGCTGCCTTCTCTTTCTTCATCGACTGCCTTACCACGCATGTTTACAGAGCTTAAGATGTGTGTACCTGTTTAGCTGTTGGATGAATATTCAAAGCTAGAGTTTCAGTACAATTCCTGCTACAAATGAGCTCCCAGACTCAAAACATTGATTTTAGAGAAACTTGAAACCAATTTCACAGCATTCTTCTCTTTGTGGTTAATTTTGCCATTTGATATGTGAAGTCAGCAACTTACGTAAGCTGCAGTTTGAATTGCAAACATTGTCAGCTCTTTGTAGTTTGCAAATTTTTTTTAAGCAGTCGACCTGGGCATCAAGTTGAGTCCCCTGCATATTAGGTTTCGTCCACAAATATACAGTGAATTCACTTTACAGTATGTCTCAAAGGTGCGATAAGGCGCTATATCAAATGCAAGGAGTGTTATTTACAGTATGTTCTGTTAAGCACTTTGAGACCTCTCGAAGACACGGGAAGACGCTATGTCAAATGCAAGGATTATTATTATATTAGAATTTGATGTTTTAAGCAGTTTTATTGAACATTTAGTAAAACGTGTACGCATGTTTTCATTCCAAGATGAAATTTTGCGGTGTTGGCATATGCTCTGTCACGGTGTGAGGCAGCTATCTGCATTTGGAATTCTCTCTGAAACTCAATAATCGAGAACAAATTAGATCCAAAATGAGAGTGTGTATTGCGTTTGGTAGCTTTTGAATTATATTGAACGATCTAAGGCAGAATCTGATAAATTTGTGAATTGTGTTAAAAAAAAAAAAAAAAAAAAAAAAAATTGCCATTGCATCTCAAGGCGTTTTAATCTGGCAAAAACTGAATGAAAAGATAAATTGTTAGACATGTTGCAGTAGAAATCTGGGCCTGTGATGATTGGCTTCTCTTGCCATTTAACATTGGTTAAATTATGCAAACCAGAGAAGCCCACATTTCCAATTGACTTGAACATTTACAGATGAGCACGTGCTCATGATTGGATCAGCTAACATTTGGGCTTTGCTAATTTTCATCCTGTACGTTTTCCAGGATTGTTTTATCAGCTCTGTAGGATTGTTTTATGGGTGGATTTGAACTTGATGCTCGGACTAAGGCAGTGAGATTTGGCAGCTTTTGTTTAACCACATTCTGGCAGGAGTTATCGTGTTTTCTTGGAAAACAGTGTACAGGGAAGTAAATAGAACTTGCACAAACAAAGGCAGTCCTGGCAGCAAGCTACAGGATCTTGCGTCAATGCTTTCGGCTTGATGTTTTTTTTTAAAAAAAATCTGCTAGTCCAGCTAGTGCTGACAAGTAAGTAGTCTTTGTAGCAAAAATAACCATTTCAGGACTGATATGTGAACACATGATTAATGCTGCAGATGTTAGCGAAGGCCATTTTATTACCACATTACAATCTTAATAATTTGTCAGTCTGGTGCACTGGTAGCCCTCTCACCTCCGAATCAGAAGGTTGTGGGTTCAAGTCAGGACTCGGAATCACGTTGTCTAATATGATACTCCAATGCAGTGCTTGGGGGCGTATGGCATTGTCGACGATGCTGTACTTTGGATGATACATTAAACCGAGATCCCGTCCGCCTGTTATAATAATCCTTGCATTTGATATAGCGCTTTTCACGAATTCTCGACGTCTCAAAGCGCTTCACAGAATAGACTGTAAAGTGATTGACCGTATATTTGTGCGCGAACTGCGTCAGCCAATTGCGCACAGCAGTGTCCCACAAACAGTCGTGGATTGAAAATGACCAATTAATTATTGTTTTTGTTTTGGAGGGATTATTATCAGGCGTGTGGAGTAAGGAAACTTGCCCATGGTTTCTCCCTGCCTGGAATTGAACCCAGGTCTCTCGCGGTCTAACCACTGAGTTACAGGACTCCATAGTTCAGATAAATATGTTAAAGATACCATTGCACTATTCAAAAAGAGAAGGAAGTTTCTCCCAGTGTCCTAGCCGACAATCCCCAAAATAAAATTGGCCACTCACTCCATGGCTGTTCATGGGACTTCACTGTGTGTAACTGGCTGCTGCATTTTGCTCACAAAATACAGTCAATTAAATGACGTTGAATAATGGGCAATCTGAAAAGTTGATCGTGGATTCTTTGAAATAATTCTCATCATCTTACACAAATGTGTAGAAATCATATTTTCAATAACCACCTTGACATTTCTGTAGCATTGACCTGAGAGTGCAGATACGTGGATTTCCTTGCAAATACTAGCTAATTGTTCAGAGTTGTTTTTAGTCACTGTCTAGATAGGAAGTGGTTAAAAACTCAGAGCTTAACATAGGTAAATTCTGTAAAGGATGCACGTTTTTTTTGTAATGGCTGCAACTAAGTGTCTGGGAATCCCCCCCATGTAACCTTTGGGTGTAGCTGAGCTATATTGGTCAATAAGACCAATTTTTCTGACCAGGTATTTTGTTTTGTTTTTTAAAAAAATCGAAAAGACTTTGGAGGGAAGGATACAGTTCCCAGAACTTTAGCCCTGAGCGTGTTCACATCAAAGATTGTTCACATCAAACTTGTAGATTTCAGATAGAGACTGGAAAAGAGGGTTCCTTGTGAATCTGAACCCTCTGAGGGAATTGGCCTGAAGATGGGCTGGATGTAACTTGCTTATACTATGATTGTCGGCGAAATTTAGCAAGTGAATTCCATAGCAGTGAATTTGAAGAATCATCGGTAGCTCATTCTTCCAAAATATGATTGTGTCTTTCTGTCTTCTCTGACTAAGCTCTTTTGAATGCCTCGTGTGATCGGGCCTGCTTCCTTTTACTGAATGACTAAGTTAGCATGTGCTCTGTGACCACCTTTTGTAGCACTATAATCGTGTCAGCATCACTTTATCCCTGAGCGACTGGCTGCATAGGTTACGAAATGATTCCCACCGGCAACAAATACTGTATGTAAACATTGAAGAATGCCTACTAATAGTCCTGCAGATCTGGAATCGTAGGCTTGGGAGAAGAGGTAGAGGGTTCGTGGTGGGAGTGATCAGCCGTCAGCTCAATACTAATCGACTTCCTTTCCTGAATCTTTTTAAATCTCCAAAGTGGTCAATTGTAACACACTTATGGCAGGTTTCAGAAAGATGAGCATTGCTCCGAGCTGGCTGGCTGTACTATTCGAGCCTCGCCTGGAAAATAATAGAAAGAAAATAGAAAGAGTATTTTTCATTTAAAACAGGACCTATAATAATAATCCTTGCATTTGATATAATGCTTTTCACATCTTCTAGACGTCTCAATATCATGTCCAGATCTTATTGTTGGTTCACTCTCTAAATCAGCGATTGTCCACTCTTCACATTAATCTGGGAGATGGCGAGTTGTTAACCTTGCACTCTTGGCATGATTCCTCATCTTCGGGCTATCAATCTTGCATATGATATCACGTTGTTTGTTTACAGAAAGTAATTACTGTCAAGGCTTAGACAGCGTTTTGATATTTTGATGCAACACAATTTTCCTAATGTAACCAAACAGAGTGGTTGTAGCACTGGGATGAAGTCATTCTGGCAAGTTACAGCAGCATTTTGAATATTTCCCATTTTGCAATTCCAGGATATCCGACATCAAGCCAGTGACTTCCCTTGTAAAGTAGCCAAACTTCCCGAAAATAGAAATCGGAACAGATACAGAGACGTCAGCCCCTGTAAGTATAGGAACAAAAGGTTTCATTATTGTAAAAGGTGTGCATGTGCTGCATTTTGGCTTCTCTTTTGGAATGAGTTTGCTCGAACTGTGAACGCTCTGTAGTGAGTAGTGCCAGATGAGCAGGATTATATGTTGGAAAATAAGGACAGCATTGAGAATATACTCCCCTAATCATGTAAATAATTCCAAATAATTTTACATTTCTATCCTAAATGTAAAATATTCAAACCCAACATCTCACTGCTTCATGTGTGACCCAATTGAGTAAATGCAAATCACAAAATTCAGAGCATTTAATTAACCCTGTCTTTCATCTGTTTCTGCATGTCTGCTCTGAATCTTGTTTTTTGACTTCCTTTTTCACGCTGCTAATTATTTCTACGATTAGTTGTTTGGGCTTGCTTTAAGTGAGACAGTGCTTTAAACAGTGAGTATGTTCAGCGTACTCATGCTTTTTGTGTTTTTGGAAATGCATCAAATCCACTAAGGATAGATACTACAGGATCATTAAACTCATGGCAGACCCCATGAGTCAAATTGGACATGGGACCTAATTGGCAAGTTGTGTAAACCATGTGCGAACACGCACGAATAAAGAATTACAAGGCCCTTAATTAAGAATCAACTGTAGTCTTTTCTCAGTGGCTAGAGGTATCTAAAATTCTCTTTGTGCACATGCAAAAACAAATTTTTCAAGTACGTAAATCACGCCATTGTAGTTTAGCTGCTGATTTTATAAGCAATGAGTAGCCAGCTGTAACATGCTATCAGCAAGCCAGAAGCATGTTCAGGCATTTTCAAATCCCATTCCTACTGCTTGCTCCAGTTTAAAAACTATGTGCAGTAGCCTAGCAAGCAATCATTGCGTTGCTAAACCTTACCAACCTGTTCCAGTCCCTCCGCTCGGCAAATACTGACCTGATCCATGTCTCCCAGCCTGCCCACCCCACCCACCATCGACAGTTACCCTTTCTGCTTCCATCCTCTGGTACTCCATCCCGGAGTCCCTTCGCCTCCTTCCCCCCTCCCTTGCCTCCTTCAAAGGAGATCTTCTCAAGACCTTCCTCTTTGACTGTGGCTTCAGTCATCCTCCCACCCCCATTGCCCTCCACCCCTCCTCCAACCCCCAACTCGGGTGCAACTTAGGTATGACTGTCCAACGCCTTGGGATGCCCTATCGACGTGAAAGGAGCTATACAAATGGGATTTGTATTGGGTATTGTCATAAATGTAGTAAAAATGCATTTTTTTAAATCAAGTTGACCACAGTCGTATTAAGCTACAGCAGGGTGAAAATGACTACATCAATGCAAGCTTGATTAGAATGCAAGAGGCCCAAAGAAGCTACATCCTGACTCAGGTAAGCATCTTTGATGGAAAATGTACTTGATAAAGCTGTTTGCTTTATTTTTAACCTTGTAATACAATTATTGATCCCTGGTGCAAGGGAATTGCATTTTTTTTGTCTCTTTAAGAGCCAGTAATCATATCAATTGCTCTTCTGTAGAACTCTATGTGCCTTTCCAAAGCTATGTCTCGTTCTCAGAAAACTGTATTGTCATCAGTATAGAGTGTGGTATGTGAATAATCTTTTAGTGTGGACTTCAAATTGGAAACTTGAAATAGTTAAACCTATCTATGCCTAGTCCCTGAGAACAAGCAGCAGAGCTTCTATGGAAAACGCTGGCACTAATGCAGTTTCTGGCTTGTCACTTCTGCTCACTTCTTAAGAAGGTAAATAATAATTAGAAAACAATTGGAAAGTTTAGCCTACGGAGGAATTAAGAGCATCGTGTAAGAATAGGCTTTTCTTTGGATCTTTTCTGCTATTTAACAGGAATGCTTTAATTTTCCTGTTCAAATTTGATTCTTAATGCCTGAGCAAACCGATCCACAGCAGGTCTAGATTTATGCAATTAACTCCCCCATTGCCCCCCCCCCCCCACCTCCCCTTTCTTCACAGCCCTAAATGTCAGTTTTGGGTAAAGGCTATGAAGCTTCCCAATTTTAAGGAGTATGTGTAAAGATATGTTATTGGGAATTTGAATCCATCATGTAAGTGTTTCATTTCTGCATTTGTTTGATTTGCTGGTGAAGTAATTAATGCTTGTGTTCCTTTGCAGGGGCCTCTTCCAAATACATGTGGCCATTTTTGGGAGATGGTTTGGGAACAAAAGTCCAGGGGTGTTGTTATGTTGAACAGAGTAATTGAAAAGGGATCAGTAAGTACTTGAAATGCAATGTTCATGAATTGATGAAATCCAGGAGACTAAAATACTGGAGCATATGCAATATCCTCAAATTTTACACCCAATTACACCTGAGTTTCAGAATTTCATTCACTCCAATCTAAATAATCTATAGTAATTTTAATAGTCTCTGACGCAGGAATAAGCTATTTTCCCCGCTGATTAGTCATAATAAACAACCTTGATTCAGTAACAGTGGAACAGATTGGGAGAAATTGCCACAAATGCTTCAAACCAGCAAATTTTGTTGGAGGCAGTTTATCTCTGGGATCTCCTAAGCTTGGTTTATTTCGAGCTTTGTAGAAGAATTGTTGAATTCAGTTGAGATGTTAAAACCGAGGCACCATCTGCCCATTCAGGTGGATGTGAAAGATTCCATGGCACTACTTTTAAAAAAAAATGGAGTTTTTCCTTGTCTCCAGGCCAGCAATCCCCCAGATACAATTGGCCATTCACATCATGTCTGTTTGTGGGACATTGATTACGTTTTGATGTGCTTTCAAAGACGCAGCATTTGATTCTAAGTGAATAAAGGGAACCTTTGTGATTGTTCCAGGTAAAATGTGCGCAATACTGGCCGAGCAAAGAAGAAATGGAAATGTTATTTTCGGACACCAATTTCAAACTAACATTGATTTCTGAAGATGTCAAATCCTACTATACAGTCCGACAGTTGGAGTTGGAAAATCTTGCAGTAAGTACCCTACCTAATGTTTGATGCAGTTTATGAAGTTAATGTATACATTTCCACCCTTTAAATGTCTTTATTTTCAGAATTTTGTTTTCAAAAGTAAATTGGGTAGAAAATTTATGTACTGTAAACTTGCTCACCTAAAACAGAGATGGGGCAATCTCATTTGCTCCACAAATTAATGTTTGAAAAACGTTGAAGATTTGGTATGTTAAGAGCTGTTGGTATGTTAAGACGAAACAAAAGGGTTATCATACTGTGCACTATGTTTTAAGTTTCAATTATCACTTTCTTTTCTAGACTGAAGAGATCAGGGAAATTTTGCACTTTCATTATACCACATGGCCTGATTTTGGAGTTCCTGAATCCCCTGCTTCATTCCTGAACTTCCTTTTCAAAGTGAGGGAATCCGGTACATTGAATCCAGAGCATGGACCTATTGTGGTTCACTGCAGTGCAGGGATAGGGCGATCTGGCACTTTCTCACTGGTTGACACCTGCCTCCTTCTGGTAAGACACGAGATGACAGTAACTTCCTAACGTTTCACATTAATTTCCGACCGGATGACAAACTCGCTTCAAGTTGTCAAATTGTGTTCCCAATTCCTGTCCGAGCATGTACGGACACGAAATTGATGTCAAAAGATTTTATAGCTAAAACGGTATGTAACCTTTCTAATGAGATCCAGTTACTATCGGGACCTTCTACCTCATAATTCTTGGAAAAGGTATTGGATATAATTATCAGTTGGAAAAAGCTCTTATGAACTCCCTAGAGAAAACTAAGTAAAGAGATCAGCAGCTTAAGTCTGATGAGTAGCTGCTGAAATAAATCACTGCTGGTGGAAGCTCCTCTTTACGCTTGTGGAAATTCATGCCTTTTGGCGATTGTGACCTCTGGAGGATATACAGTTGCCATTGCCAGCATTTGGCAGTTCCATTGTTGATCTTTGATTCATATTTTTTAAAGTAACTGGTCCAAGTAACTACAAATAAGCTAAGAAACCTAAAGCTTCTGAGTCCCAACTTAAGGAGAAGCTCGAATTGGAAATAGAACAGCTCAAAACCATAACTGGAGCTGGTGAGGAAAGTTTGACATTTAAAAACTAGATTTGCTACAGTCCAAATTTTCAATACAAAGGGAGCGATAGCCCCCATTATAAAAGCGAAGTGTAAAATTGATGCATTTGTTTACAACCATGAAGTATAGCAAGTAAAATTTTTTATCATTTTGTACTCCCATTTCTCTCTGAACTTTTTTAACAGATGGACAAGAGGAAGGATCCTTCATCTGTGGACGTCAAACTCGTTTTATTAGAAATGAGGAATTATCGTATGGGACTGATTCAGACAGCCGACCAACTTCGGTTTTCTTACATGGCTGTTATTGAAGGAGCTAAATTCATTATGGGAGACTCTTCTGTTCAGGTGAGCTTTGCTGCGTCTGCCTTTCAGTATAAACAGTGGAATTTGTTCAGTCTTCAGGACAATGGTCAGAAGAAGTCAGCAAAATTTCAATACGCGTCGTTGGAATTAATTGAGAAAATGATGAGCCAGTTGATTATTCTGTTGTGGTTTAAAAGATCTTTTGATTTTTTTCCATTTAGGAACAATGGAAAGAACTTTCCAAAGAAGACCTTGAACCTCCCCCAGAGCACAGCCCCCCACCTCCACGACCTCCAAAACGGGCCTCTGAAACTCTCAATGGGAAAACGCCAGATCAAAGGATATGTGTTACAGATTCGGAAGAGAGAAAATTCGATGCATTTTATGAAAACCAATCGAGAAAGGTCACAGAGTCACAAATAGAAAGGTATATGTAAAACTTAATTTCCCTTTCAGCAATATGTGAAAGCGACATGTTAATTTTCAAGGTGCTATCTGAACAGGAATGTCACTGCTATGCAAAAGAGTGTACACACTCCCACCCACCTACAACAACACATTTACATTGCGCCTTTCATGTCGGGAGGACGTCCCAAGGTGCTGAAACCCACATTTCATTATTTCAGTGTAAAAGTGGAGAAACTGCACACGGAGAAACTTCGTTGGTATTGAAATTCTCTTTTAACTACTGCTTCCTCCAATTATAAATTATATTCTAAAATTAGGTTACAGCAGAAAGAATCGCAGGGCAGCTTCCATTTAAGCTGTAGCTCCAAAAAANCAGTTCAATTCCTGGAGGGTTAGCAAGCTTTTGGAGAGAAAGGGAAACAGTATATTTCTGTTAATGTTGGAATTTTAGCTGTTTAATTACCTCTTTAATCTTGATGAGTATTTAATCAGCTATGACATGTAGCATGACTTCAGTTCAGTATCACCTTCTATGCAATTCCCTGAAATATAAAAAAATGGAAATCATGTCCATTTGTCATCAAACAAATGTCACACAATCTGTTTTATATGCCCTGTGAAAACCTAATATAACACAGTTGCTCTCACACTATGAAGTATCTGTTTCTTTCCTCTGTATTTAATCAATTTTATGGACCCCAATGGGGATGTACTGAACAGAGCAGGCCATATATCTACTTAAATCTGACCTACAGCAAGCAATCTAAATTAAGTGAATTCTATACTTCATATTAGTCCAAGCATGAAATAAACTCGCTTCTTGGCAGTATAAATTTAAGATTGGTGAATTCAGCTCCCTTCTCGCTGGTTGCTTATTGCATGTAGTTCAGCTCCAGAAAACATTGTTCATAGCGCCTCAAGAAAAAAAGATGGTATTTTAATGTGCAATTTGCACATTGAACTTTATAATGTATTTGTTGGAACAAAGTATGAGCCTCCCATATGAATACTTGCACACCGTTTTCAACGCGATTCTTTTTCTCCTTTCAGTTCAGAAAATGAACTTCGGAAAAGGCACGTGGGAGAAAATGCCATTTATTCACCGCAGGTCAACGAACAGGTGAATTCAGAATATGAAGAAGTGATAGCAGAGGAGGCGTTAGAGCTGGTTTTGGAAGACGAGGAGAAGGAAGATACATGGTTAAATTGGAAACCTGTTGTGCTCAATGTGTGTTTGTTCGCTGCTTTTACAGCTGGAGCATACTTCTGTTATAGGGCATGCTTCCATTGACAAATACCCTAGAGGATGACGTGCGTACTGTATATTGCAGTAAAGCCTGCGCTTTTTCAATAAAACATTTGATGCATTGAAAAGCTGTAGGATCTATGTCTTAAAAAAAAAAGCAGGCTTAGTTTCTGAGACGGGAACTTGGGTGGGATTGTAGGGATAAGAAAAAGATGCACTAGGGTTTTAGCCCCATGGTCCCAAGAGCATAACATTCAAATCTCAGGGCCTTGAATATTCAGGGGAAAGCAGTGAAAATGCCAAATAGCTGTGTTTTTCTTTTCTTTTTTTTTTTGGCAGGGAGAAGGGTGTTGTATGTTGCATTCTTTTAATGTCTGTTATGGAGAAATGCAAGATATTGTTCGGAAAAGATACACATCCTCTAACCCTAGCATATTTCGCTCATAGTTGCAATGTTAATCTCCACTGTTGTGCCATTTCCTGTTTCACCCACATCTGGAAAATGCCCAATGTTATTCTTGGGAAACAAAATGTATTTTTTGTTTGCACGTATGTTTTTGGGCAGTGCCTGTGGTGAAATTGCATTAATCTCAGCAAAGCTGTGGCTTTAAACTGCTGCTTTGTTAACGCATCAGCTAAGAGGCTTCCACTGCTGCTCAGGGTATTCCAGCAAAATGGTCCTCTTTAAATGTGTCTATTAACCATTTCCGTCACACTTGTGCTTGCACTTTTGCCATCCACAACATCGGAAACCAAGGTAAATTAACCAGCTTTTAACCTTCCGCTATTCAGCGACAATATAGTTGGACGGGGGAAGAAATGCAACAAAATGCAACACATTTCCACCAGCATTTTTACAGCTGTACCATATATAAAACTAGACCATTATACAAAGTCAAATCTCCTTCACTCCATATTTATTTGTAACAGGTATGACTGTATCCAACAATTTTTTAACCAACGATGTATTAAAAATATAGTTTATATTTTTAATCAAAGCCTTGCATCAAGGGCTCATAGAAAAGTAAAATGATACCTCATTGCCAGTACTGGAAGCTTGCCACCACTTACCTGCCCTGTAAACTATAGGGTATTACCAGTACTTAATCTGAGGGTAATTGTAAGTAGTCAGTATATAGTTGTCTTAAGAAATTATAGCATTAAAACTAGACATTTTTGGATCATGTACATCAAATTAAGGGGATACTAATAATATATAATGGTAGGAAACAGAGTGAGCTACAGAATTGCTTTGTCGAATGATTCTTTTAATGGTCTGGATGTATATTGTATCCTGGCAGTTATACATTATACACCAGTGTAGTGGAATGCATGCAGACTCCATTAGCATCAATAAATATGAAATTGCTTGGAAAGTGAAAGATGATCTGTATATCTTATTACTACTGTAAACATGTGTAGTACATGTTTGAAAATAATTGCATGAGTGTTCTGGTTGGTAATGGTGGCAGTGAGACTGACACTGAAAAGGTAATATTTCAGTGGTTCATTTCTATGTTGGGTGTTTGTATAAAAGCTAGCATACCTGTATTTGAAACTCATTTGGCCTGTGTATATATCAAGGGTTTTACCTAAACCACGTAATCCAGATGTTTGTCACATTTCAAGTATGTAGGAACTAGTTCAAACATTCCAAAACTGTCTATAGGCATTGTTCATGTCTCACTTTCTGCACAGGGTCGAGCTCTGCAAATATTGGACACCAGTGGCTAAGATGCAACAATTAAATCTTTCTTTTACAAAACAGGTCTAAACTAATTTATTGGCTTTGAGCGTCTTGGTGCTGGGATAGGACTTGCTGGTAATTCCCTTTCAAAATATATATGCTGGCTCTCAAACCCTGAAGTTGGCACTTCAGCCAGCAAGATCCAGATGTAGTGGCTCACCGATGTTGCTAGCCCCATCGCAATCAGCAGAAATGAGCAATGAATAAAGCTCATACGATAAGACTTTTTAAAGCCTCTTGTATATTTATGTAGTTTGGGTGTATGTACAGTAGATTTGAAAAGTTGGGTTTGTTGGTATACCTCTTAAATGACAAAAGACTGAATAGGGTTTTCATGGTAAACAAGCTATTGAGCTGCTGTGATACATGCCTTAATTGAAACTTTCCTTGGCTCTTGTTCTTTCCAGTAAGGCCATACCAATAAGATTAATGAACAAATGTAAAATATCAGACTGCGGTATGTAATGTTTTATGCAGTTTACTTACTATAAATTGCTTTTGTGGACCATTCACACAAAAACATTGTACATTTGGTGTTTAGGAATGTGAATCTCTAGCGTTTTGAAATTCAGGATAGTCATACTTCTCACATTTCAAAAAAAAATCTATATGCACATGTTTGGAGTTTTATGCCCCATTTTGTTCAGTATCAACATTCTGGAACGTTAGCCTGATATTTACTAGAAAGGAGAACTTAAGTTTACTGTATCCCTTCATCTTTTTGATCATGTTACAAAATCATGTAAATTTCTACACAGTTTGGAGTTTAGTTTGTAACTGTTACCTGAAAGGACGTGACGTTCTATAACCCGGTCGTGGAATGATCTGAAGTATGCACTCCTTCGCGGTTACTCTACAACTGGCTGGCAGATATCCTCCTCCCGTGGAGCTCACAGAGGATCAGTTTTCCTCATATTTTTCAAACCAAATAATGTGCAATTCTGTTTAGAATTGCTGACATTTGGCGAATGAGGTGAGAGTTTAAAACTTTCAATCTCGTCTCTTTGACCAAGCAACCATGTACAAGTGCTTGCTTCAGACCATTCTGTGCTCTGGATCTAAGAAGCACCAGGACCCGGAGGAGGGTGGATCAGAGAACACATTCTCTGAGTCGTCTGGTGTTTCTTTTCCTAATATCCCAAATAACCATTTGCTGGCAAGTGCATGTAGTAAATTATGGTAAGTAGTTTGACACTGTTTAGTTTCTGCTTTTAACAGTCAATCCTTTCACAAAGAGCAAAGTATGCTTAACTGCCCCCACCTGTAGTATCTGAATCATAGTCATTTGTGCACCCTGACACAAATCATGTTAGAACTTTAAAACCTCCCTTGCCCATCTTCTGTCTTGCTGTCCCTACCATGCGTTTCGGAAGGTGAGAGTACTTAATTTTTTTAAAATTGTATTTTCATTGGTTAAATTTATTGGTGGCCTAAGAGATTAATTGCACTTTTAAAAAGTGCTTGTTCCAGTTTAGTTCGCGGAAGTGAAGTCCATTTCAAATTCAGTCTCGCAACCTGAAAAACCAGACCCTTTGTGTTAATGACTGACAACGAAGCAGTGTTTTCATATGATGCTGACTAGCTAACTAGCTGATGTTGAACTTGACGTTTTCTCCTCCCTAAAGTTGTTGTCAAGGCCTCTGTTAGCAGATTCTTAATCATGATGTTTGTGCCAAGCTATTTATTTCCCTGTAGGAGGCTCTATGGTTCCTAGTTCAAGGAGAAAATCCTTAACTGGTGCCATCAATGTGGTTTGCAGCTCAGATTGTAACCTGCACATCAACCCGAGCAGCCTAACCACTGGTACTGTAATGAGTTACAATTTGGGGGCTTGAATAAACTAAGAGTAAAAGTGGCTACAAAAGTTTTCAGATTTAAACACTGCTTGGTCATTCCACAGGTAACTGAGCACCTGCCTAGTTGGCTCATTTATTATTTGATGTGATCAACTCATTCATCCAGCACACCTTTTCAACCAAGCTATGCTGTGATCTAGCAAGTGATGAAACTCTAGTCCAAGTGATATTGCTGACAGCATTAATAGCAATTGCAAGACTTTTAGGTAGTAGTTCATCATGGAAGTTTTTTTTATATATGAAGATTCATCTCATGATCCATGGGACACACGTTTTCATCAGATTTCTTGTCGATTTCCAAATTGTTGAACAGGAAAATATGTTCAGTATTTTATTTGTATGGCCTTACAGAGGAGACATTTCTTATGCCCAGTTTTGCTGAGAACTCTTCTAGATAGGAACAGATGAGTGCTGTTGATACATTTTCTCCTATTGTCTTCCCAGCAATGTGATTTTGTTCTTCAATGGTTAACAACAAATCAACAAATGCTATAAGATCACACTAGTTTCCATAAATTTCAGGGATGTGCCTGACTTAACTGGAATTATTTTAGTTTTTTTTATTGGTAAAAGTACTTTTGGACCAAATATATGCAGATTTTTTTGAATACCAACTTGTTTTGTCGTGTGTTAAGCACACACTTTATTCTAAATGAAGTTTCACAGTGGAATTGTAGCTTTTAATTTAAAATTACAAATTAATTGCTTGCACTAAGTGTCTCTCAACTGCATAACTTAAAGAGAGTAAAACGTAAGATCGATATTGAATGTCCTCTCCTAAGTGCACTGTTGGTCAACATGCAATGCTACACAGTCCACACCTAGAACTATGAGAGAAATCATGTGATATTTTCACAGTTTGACACCTTTATAGTTAAATTACAGGTAAAGCACTTGGGATATAAGAGTTGTACATTTCTGTACCTATAATCTGAAGACATTGAGATACACTGATTTTTTTTCTACCTTAGCTAGTGTGATCTTTTTCCTACTTGACTGTTTCACGTTTTTTATTCGCTTTTTTTGCCACACAGCAAACGGCTTCATGTATTTTACTTTTTTATTTTCCTGTATAGTATTTTACTGTCTTGTAGAGTATGAATAACTGTATTGTGCTGTTTTCTAGTAAACATTAACAAAGCTATTTCTGCATGTATTGATATTGTATGATTTTCTACGGTTTTATATTGTTCGACCATTTGGTGGTCTAAAAAAAAGCCTGACTCAAACAAGACTCTCCAAGCATTTGCAAAGTTTTCAGAACCCTTTAAAACTTTACAGTGAGCTGGATTTCAAGTATGCCACATCAACTATAAATCTCGAATAAAACCAGTTTGGAAAGAAAACTTGTGTGGTATTTTGAACTGCAGATCATACTTTTAAACAAAAAAAATTCAATGATTAAAATCTATTGTTTAACTTACAACATCAGCTCTGATCAGCGAGAAAGTTTTGGGTCCTATCACAACCCGGCAGTCTCCCCCCCCCGTTTGTTCTCTAAATCCTCAGTGTGAGCAGCTGCAGATGTACCATTAGGTGTAATAGGTGTTTACCTTTTATCAATAGGATCACCTTTATCAATAGTAAAATCCCGTGAAGCCCTTTGAGACATTTCCACATGTTAAGGCGCCATAACAAATGCCAGCGTTATTATTATCCATTCAGTCTCGACCTATTTTTCCCTCATTTCTTTGAATGCATCTCCAGTTCCCTTTTGAAACCTAATATAATAATCCTTGCATTTGATATAGCGCTTTTCACGTCTTCTAGACGTTCTCAAAGCGCTTCACAATATACTGTAAAGTGAGTTGACTGTATATTTGTGGGCGAAACGCAGCAGCCAATTGTGCACAGCAGTGTCCCACAAACAGTTGTGGTTGAGATTCTGCCTGAACCACCTCACCCAGAAGGGCATTCCAAGTCCCCAACAACTGTTTTAAAAAAGAAGAAAAAAATCTGAATCTTCCCCCTTTGCTTTCCTCTAGTCACTAACTCACTGACCAATGGAAATGTTCCTCAGACAAAACTGCTCTTCTCATTCCTGTCTTTAATGTCAAGACATTCAAACAGTTTATTGATCCACCAGATTTTTGGCATTCAGGTGGGCATAAAACTATCTAAGAAGTGTGAATTTCATACTTCTTAACTCAAGGCCATGATTTTTTTTTCAGCCATCGCATACTTTTGGAATCGAAAGAAGAATTGCTACACTGAAGTTTGTGGGGTTTTAGCATTCCATTTGCACTCAATAGTTGTAAAACTTTAGGAAAGTCGTCACTAAACAGCATTAGAGGACAAGTGAGTTTTTTTTATTGCAGCTGGTTCAGAATCACCTGGCAAAAATAAAACTCATACATTTACAATTTCTTGAGACAAACATGTTTCTCCCAAGATTGGATGTGTAAGACCCTCTGTATTTAAAAAAAAATTGGACCTTGCTCCTTTAGAAAGTGAATAATAATAAATAATACTAGCATTTGATACAGCTCCTTATCACGTCTCAAAAGAGCTTCACACTGCAAAGTGGATTGATCGTATATTTTGTGGGCGAAAGATGGCAACCACATACAGCCATGGGGTGTTTTATTTAGGGGATGTAATGGCTAGGACACCAGGAGAAACTCCCTTCTCTTCGAATAGTTCCATGGGATCTTTAACCTCCACCTGAACAGGCAGACAGGGTGTTGGTTTAATATCTCACCCGAAGGACAGCAGCTCGGCTAAATCAACCCCCAGGTAGAGCAGATTGGCAGTATGAAGCTGGACAGACCTGGGAGAGAGCAAGGAGTGACTGGATGTAGGGTCAGGAGATCACTAGAGGTGGAGTGGGACGAGGCATTTAAAGGTAGGAAAATTTCTATTGAATTTGATGATCAACTGGGATAAGGAGCTCATGCAGCCAGGCGAGGACGAAGCTGATAGACTTTCGAAGCCCAACACACGAAAACATGGGCTGCAGAGTTTGGATGGTCTGGAGCTTGTGGAGACAAGTATTAAGTTAACATTCCTAATAACAAGCTGGAATTATTTGGCTATCTGCTGAGTGTGGGGATATCTGCACTTTTAAAGCCGATCCTTACATTAAATCATCGTTTTCCACCTCCAAATTCTGGTGTCTGCAGGGTTTGAACAAATGAGCAAGAAAGGTAAGAGTATATCCACCTAAATGTAAATAGTTTTTGTTTTGTATCTCATTCAATCTTTGCTGCTGTGGCCTCAAACGCCCCAATTGAAAGAAAGTAAAATGAGAGGTCGTTTAAACAGTAAACTTTGATCAAGCAGTGAAGATTGCAACATCACATTAGCCATTCCTACTTTTAAATACTCTTGAATTGTTTTCAAATTAGCAAAATAGCTTGAGTTGTACAATTGAACCTATTCTCATCTAAATGGGTTTACGGGCTGAGAGCCGAAGACTTAAACATTGATTTGTTTAAAAATCTAAATCAAGGGAAAATACGGCTTTGCTTGATAAGGGTGAAGCCCAGGGCAACAAATTCTAATTATACTTAACGATGGAAAAAATGGTAATTAAAACAATGTAATTGTAAGATATCCAGTATCTTTTACTTGCGTTAACATTTACACGGTACATTTTAAAAGGAGTGTTGGCATCCATTTCAAAATATATTTGGTACTACCTATTATATAAATTATGTTTATTTTAAAAACATTTACTTGCTGTGCATAGAATATTTGTATATTTGCTACAGAGTAAACTGACAACAGCCCTTTGAGTGGACCAGTGTCTTGATACCCCAACTTTATTTCTTATGTCAATGATCACTTGTGTGAACCAAAACTGAACGTCGTATTTTATACACATGTGCATCTTTATACAGAGGAATATATAGGTGCAGTATAAGCACAATTCAACATATTACGTATCAGTTATGTCCATTGGAGCTAACGTTTCTTGAAAGTGTTCAACGTTCAGAGAATAGTGATTTGAGTGGTTTCGTTTTGGATTCTGTCCTCTTCGAGATCGTACCACATTTTTTCCAACTTCTCAAAGGCTAAATGACCTTTTTCACCTGCAGAAAGAGATGAAAAATGTAGGCAATGTAGGATCATGGAATCCTTCAACGCAGAAACAGGTCATTCAGCCCATCGTGTCTGTGCTGGCTCTTTGAAAGAGCTATCCAATTAGTCCCACACCCCTGTTCTTTCCCCGTAGCCTTAAAATGTTTTTCTTTTAGGACCAAAAAAGGAATCACTCCGACTCGCCCCCTCCTTAGTCTCCTTTAAATCCCACCTCAAAACCCTCTTCGGCCATGCCATCGGCCATCCCCCTTCCCCTCCCTTCCCTTCCCACCCCCCCAGCTCAGGTCTGAAATGCTGTACACTGTCCAGCGCCTTGGGACGTCTTACCGACATGAAAGGCACTATACAAATGTAATGTTGTTGTTGAAGAAGGCTTTATCGGCCGCTACATGCAACGTTAGACTGTTTTGGACTGTTAAATCACGTCAGGATTCCTCTGTCCAAATGCGTCATATAAAAATGAATAGTTTCTATAATTTGCATTTGTTTTAAATTGAAACCATCGCCACAGAGTCCAACTCCAGTATTTTTAGCTAACGATACCAAGTTCCGAGCTTGCAAATTCGCCACAGAATTTTGCGATGGAGGCTTAATACCATCGAGAAAAACGTTCCCCCACAAAGGTGACATGGAAGTTAAACATTACCGAAAGAAAGGATGGTTTCTCTTGCAGTATCTCTCACATCTTTAGTCTCAGACTGGCACAGACTGACAATCTGTTCGATGCTTTCCACAGCCTTGAAGGAAAAAACGTAAATGAGAGGTTGTCAAGTTTTTCTGCAATCTAACCTTATCAGTCTTCAAGAAAGTTTTAATGGTGGGACGGGAATACAACTAGTCTGGCTTCTCTGTGGCAACCAAATGTCAGAGAAGTGAAGATAATTGTTGCTTGATATTTTTAAAATTAACAAATAAATCTGATTTTTTGTTCTTTTTGTTCCTGTCAACACAGTAATAACAATCTTTTGGTATAACTCCTTTCACTGACGGTGTATTTGTAGGCAAACCCAGCAGCCCAGTTGCACACAGGTATGGCAGTAGCAGCCACATGCAAAGGTCTTGCTTACCTTCAGATGTTTCAGAGCCATACAGGCACTTTTCTGAATTTGTAAATCTTTGTCTTGCAAAGCGTCTGTGTAGTGGGCCAAAGCCTAAGAGAGAAATATAGATTTTCAGCAAAGTTAAGTCAGTCGGTTATAAACGGTTAAACTGGGAATTTAGCTCAGCAAAGAAGCGGTTGTGTGTTTAACAGCTTGTAGTTCCACTTGGTTGGCTTGCATTATTCACAACTGAGACCAAGGTGTTTTTTTTTGTTTGTTTTCTTTTTTTCTTTTGGTCATTTAAAATTCTTACTTGTTCACATGAAAGGAATGCTAAACGGTACCTTGTCTCGAAAATGTCTATGCACTGAGGCATTAGAAAGAAATGATTTTGCCGCTTGAATGACCTTCGGGTTTTCATCCAACTGAAGGATGCTGATTGACTCCAGCGTTTGGTGCAGAGGCTGGAACTCAGTGATATGCTTTCCTTTTAACTTTTTCAGTGTCTTAATCTTCTGTGTGGTTTGCAGTGCTTCAGCAAGAGATACTGAAAAGAGTAAATGAACCGGGCAATTCATGAGCAAAGCCTTCAATAATTCAGGTGCTTTTGTGCATTCCTGCTCAGTAATCAAAACGATGTTGTCCAAAAATGGTTCATCTTTTTGCATATAAAAATGTTCTCTTTGTTTTATTTATACTTAAAGTGGAAACCCGGACTCGTTTATCAGTTATTTATACCTGGAACGTTGCATTGACTGTCATACTCAGAACTGACATTCATAAATGTAATTTTAAAAATCACTAGTTTAGGGAAGGATGCTTAGAAGTTTCTTGTTAATGTAACTTAAACATATTGCTGACGGTGCCAAGCTAGGTGGCCAAGTGATTAATACAATGAGGACAAGTAACATTCAGGAAGATCTGAACCATTTCGACAGAATGGCCAAGGAGTGGAGGATTAATTTTAAAGTGGATAAATGCATGTAAATGGCTTTTAACACAAGAAAGAGTAAGCAGATGCATCTAATGAATGGGTGAACAGTAGCACAGATAAAGAAGGAAATTATTGACATTGACCTTGGGCAATGTGTGCGTTCACCTCTCTCATTAAATTTAACTCTGAAAGAGAAGGTGTATTGCTGAAAGGTGCAGTGTGCCTGAACACTGAGTGTATGGTGTGCCTTAATCCACAAAAAGATTTCTTTCTCCCTCTTCTGTGCTTTTTTTAAACAGTCTCCTAGGAGTACATAAATTGCATTACTCTCTGCATTACTTTTAATTCAAATATCCTTTGCTCAAAAAGAACAGTCAAAACACTTTTACAGTATATTCTGAGAAATGCTTTCAGAATTCTAGGATTATATTATTAATATCCTTTGTAAAAGCTGCTTATGAATCAACTTTGTGTATTAATCTTTATATATAAAATCTTAAATTTTAAATCTTCACCTGTGCTCAGCTGGGCACAAAACATATTGCTGAGCCTGACCAAACCTTTTCACCTTCCACAATGGTGCAGTCTGTCTTGTTTATGGTTGTGTTTTATGTGCATCTTGGTCAGACCCGACATATCGTATATGCTCAGATTTCACTATGGTTGCATTTGTGAAAGATTGAAGCTGCCTGACGGGAAAACATCAGCACGTGGATAACAAATTAACAAATTAAGCTTTGACTAAAGCAAATCGCTTTTTGGTTTAAGCGACAAACATTTAAGAGATGGAAGGGGCAGAAGAAAGATAGTCCTATACACTTACAAATGGTTCGAAATATGTTAAATCTGTGGTTGGTATGTTTATACTTTCACCTCCACCCGTTGAAATGTGATCAATTTACAGCTTGGACCAAATCCAACTACAAATCTATATGTGAATGGAGTTATTGTTCAAGTGGAAATGCATTGGCTTTTAGATATTAACTCAAATCAATGAGTAGACGTTTTGAGTCCTAGTTCAGGCGAAGAACATTTTCCTCCTACCTTCCTTTGTGAGTTTCATCAGATGTGTTCCCAGGTCAGTAATGCTGTGCCTTTTCACATAGTTGAAAAACTGGAAGATTGTTAGCACTTCTTCGGAGAGACTAGCAGAGAGCAGGAATCCACAGCAGCCCGCAATCTGGTGCAGGAGTGTTCTGAATACTGAACGAAAACACAAATTCCTTGATCAAAAATGCTTAAAAACCAAAGAGTTTTGAAACATCTGATTACACTTATAATATAATAATAATCCTTGCATTTGAACATGCTACTTTGTCGCGTCAGTGAGACGTCCGAAAAAGCGCTTCACAGGATATGTTGTAAAGTGCAGTGACTGTATATTTTGGGGGCAAAACGTGGCAGCCAGTTGTGCACAGAACAAACAGTGGTGTTTTTTTTTTAAGCAATGAAATGTGTCCCCCTACCCACCCCCCCCCCCCCCCACCACAACCCCATCCCGAAGGACACTTGGCAACGGAGACTATAAAATCCACAATAGATACAGTTTGAATCAGGTTTTAAAGCATTGGTATTTTTATGCTTTTGGACAACGTTCCCACTTGTGAACAATCTAGTTGGGGGGGAGAGAAAGGTGCTCAATATTAGAATGTTGTTGGGGTTAGACTACCAGTTTGCACTTGAATGAGTTAAGATTTTCTCCCATAGAGCGGATCAGCTGATCTTCAGACGGGAAACATAATCTGGGACCAAGGACAGGAAGAGTGCGTGCAAAGTGATTACTGGTCTTTGTCTATTATACTAATTATTATACTGTTTATTATACTAATTGAAATGCATCAGGGTCCTTAAGTCAAAATACTGTACTGTAGTAATAATCTTTGCATTTGATATAAAGCGCCCTATCACGTCTTCGAAACATCTCAAAGCACTTCACGGGATATATTGTAAAGTGAACGACTATATTCTGTGGGAAAAATTGTACATCCCGATTGATTGGAGTCGATGTTGAATGTTGAGGTCATCATTGTCCATTGCTGAGTTCTGATTGACACTACTAAAAAAAACCAAGGCTTTTCTTTAATATTTAACCTGGAAATGTCAGCTCCACTTTGTTAAGTCAATAAAGAAAGATTTGGCAGGAGTGCATCCTTGGGAGTTTCCTTAAACTGGGCTCCTGCTGTGTGTAAAACGTTAGCTATTTTTGGCTACTATTTTTATGATTTACTCCACGCCACCACCAGAAGAACACAGATGAATATTGTTGTATTACAGATGCCCGTTTGTAGCAGACCACAAACAAACCACAATAGATATCATGTAAATACTGCACTGTACTCTCTCTCTCTTACCCCCCCCCCAACCGCCCCCCACCACCACCACCCTAGTGGAAAATGATCTGAATGATTAAGGGTTAAAACCATGCGTCCACAGTGGGTTTTAAAAAGAAAATAACAAACATTGGTTTCCAGTTTCCGTTTGTTTTAGGAGTTGTTTAGATCTGATATGCTACAATTTCCAATGGGATTCCTTTAGAAGGAATCTGAGTGGGAATTCATTCTGGTAACTGGAAATATATGACACTGACCCATGGGAACTCTGCTCCACAACTACTTCACATGAAGTAGTACTGGCATCGCGGACTTAAACGCCCGTTAAACGTCCATGCACAAACCATTTATATTATCTTCTTTCCATTAATTGCCAAGCACCATATGTATTTGATCATTGTTAGAGATAATCTACGTATAAGTACGGCGTATAACGTACCTCTCTCTGACAGTCCGAGGCATTTTGCGTTCACCTTCTGTGTATAATAGTTCCTTAGTTGTGTGAGAAACCTCTCAGTTGACGAATACAGAACACATTCTGTCCCTGCACATTTTCTCCAGAACGACGAGAGTAACTTTACCTTCTGTGCCTTCGGAATGACTGAAAGTGGAAAATTCAGCATTAAAATACATATCTATCTTGTTAGAAATAATGCTGACACGCATTTTATTGTCTCTGCTCACTTCCTACGTGATAAAATTGCAGCTATAAGACTTGTGGTTGTTGGCATTAGATTTTATTGGGACTATTTTATTTTCTAATAAACGTAGATTTTACATCGACCAGAGGCATGATTTTTGTGCAGCTGAAGCGACAAACCGAGTCAACTTGTCTGAAAGAGTAGAGATGAGATATTATTTTTCCCTTTTGATTCCAATCTGTAGTGGTGAGTGATACCCAGATAAAGTATTAGATGGCTGGTGCTGTGTACATAACCAGCACTGGTTTGGCCATCGGTACCTCCAACTGATGTGGAATGTGTCTCTATGGGTGGGGGGTTGTGACCCAATACAGTCAGGGCTTCCATTGGACAATCAATTTTAAAATTCACCGAAGCAAAATATTTCATTTAACATGTATTCGTCATTTAATAAATCAACACGAAATCCTGGCATTTAGTGATTTCAAATTGTGCTCACTTAAGACAGTATTTATTGAAAGGCAAACAAAAAGACTTCATTGTTTAACTACGTCGTATCGCAAGCCAACTGATGATGACCCAGTTTGAATGTGAATGTCCGTCAACTGGACTCCCCAGAACTCTGCAGCCTGTATCGTCGCCCCCACCAGGCCCCCTGAGCCCGTTTTGCACATCCTCGCTCGGCTCCACCACCGGTTTCTCACCCTCCAGTAGATTCTCCTTCTCACTTTCAAGTGCTTCCGGGCCATCATCCTACCTCTGTGACCTCCCGGGACCTAATGTCCCGCCTGCTCCCTCCGCTCAGCAAACACTGGCCACTGCTTCACGTTCCCGCTCACTCTGCCCCACTCTGATGGGCAATCGTTCCAAGACTCTGCCCTCATTCTCTGGACTCCATCCCAGAGTCATTCCACCTTGCCTCTTCCGTCTCTGCCTGCAAAGGTCATCTTAAGACTCTTCAACGGTGCTTTTGACTGCCTTCCTCCTCCCACCACCTCACTTCTGTATATCATTTTTCATACATATACTCAGATGTTTTAGGTCAACATTATGGAGTTGACTTGTGCAAACATGGACTGGCAGTTGTGAATAAACATAAATAGACTAATAGACTCATCAAATCTGAGATGGCTCGAAGATGTGATAAGGCACTATATCAACTGCACGGATTATTATTATTATTAAATCCTTCTCGCGTACCCTTTGAAGCCCTATAGAATAAATCCAAGAAGATGTGAATCATAAACAACAGGGGGATATGTTGCTGCTTAGCAAAACAAAAAGATTTATATTATTGAAATTCCACTTGTGCTTTGTAAGCCTGATATATTGCCTCTGTTACAGCCATCAAGGCAAAGCTCTGACAACAAACCATTGCCTATGACACCCTCGATCAAGAATAACTTCCTATAAATCCACTCTTGTAAAGATCTTAAAGGCAATATTGTAGAGAGACAGCGTATGTGAGTACAGTAGTTTTATACAAACCCTCCTCCACTGATCTGACATTCCCAGTCTTCCCATGACACATCACAGCTAGAGTTTCGAACACAAGAATCTGCTGTGAGAGCTCCTCCAAAATACTGTTCTGTAGGGTAGAGCCAATTGATGTAAATCTCTGCAACATAAATAAAATGTTTATTATTTCCAGATCTTCACCGCTAGGTTACCATGACCCTTACAGGATGTGTTAAGCATAAATAGGAGGGATAAGAACATGCGAGTTGAACAGAAAATAAAGCTTTGTATGTACAAATAAATCAGCTGCCGAGTGAAACAAAAATCAATTAACTTGCGGAGAACTGTTATTGAACCCGAGACTTTAAACATTTAAAAGGGAATTAGACAATCATTGAAAGAGAAAGAATATAAGAGGGGAAAGAGCAGGGAATTGGATTGCATGGAATACATTTTACAACTGCAGGCAGTTAAGTTGGAATCAAACCCTTTTTAAATCTATACCGTATTAAGTCACAATCTTTCTTGATCTCTAAATGGGAAACAAGGGGATTTCCAGTAGTGGAGTTATTGTCTTCCTGAACTTTCATCTGAATCCTTTTCTAAGAATGAACGGCTGAAAAAGATTATATCAAATGCAAGGGATGAAGGATTACTATTTAAAAGGGAATTGGATAACTACGTAAGGAAAAATAATATTCAAGAGTATGTTGGGATGTGTGTATCAGTGATAATAATAATAATAATCCTTATATTTGGTATAGCGTGGTTCACATCAGGAGGATGTCTCAAAGCGCTTCACACTGTAATGTACTGAGTGTGTGTTTTGCGATCACGAGAGGAGACTTGAGACAGATTTTAGCACTCGTGGATTTCTTTGCATTAAATGCAGTTGTCTGTACTCCTTTACCTGCAGAAGCCTCCTGCATATCTGCAGGTGAGTTAAGAGGGTTTGATCGAGATAGTGGTTTTCTGATGTCAGGGCAAGAATTTGCTTTCGTTTTGTTCCTGATTCTCCATTCTTACTTGACAAGTCATGATGACAAAGACTGGGTTCAGTGTAAGTGCTGTTCCTGTCAAATGGAAAAAAAAAGTGTATAAAGAAAGATCAATGAAGCAGACAGAAGATCATAAACTGATGGTCAGAGTTTTATCACCTTAGCTACTGTCACAAACATGAATAAACCTGAAGAATTAACACTCAACCATGAAATCATGGAGGAATTTGATGCCTTTTTGGCTTTCCTCCATTATTCTACATATGTTTCAGCAACGAAAAGCCCAGCTGTGTGTGTGTACCGTAGATTATCTTCACTCAATCGTGTACCTTTCATCCTTTATCCGCACACTCCCAGAACAGGAGAGGGTATCTTCATTTATATCCACATTTAAGAAGTCAAAGCTTTCTAAGGCGGTTTCAACGCTCAGACTGACTGTGGATTCACTTCTGCTGCTGGTTGATTCTTTCTGTTGAAAGCAAGTTTTGAAAAATAACGTGACGCGAAAATAATTATTTCTGATTTTACAATTCAGTTAGTTGCCACGTATGGCCTGGTGCAGTTTCGCCTCCTTGCAATGCATGGAAAACGTAAGTATGACTGGGAGACAGCTGATCAGAAAAGAGACAACTTAGGGCATTTTAGAAAGCAATTGAACCCAATTGTGTCCCTGATGACAAGAGGCTGAGAAAGGCCAATTTGACCTAATGCGTACAGAATACCAATTCCGCCATCTTCCCACCACAGTATCAAGCTGTACCTCTGAATGTACCTACCAGAATGTCCCTAAAGTGCAGGAGCTGCTGTTCCAGTCTCTGTAGTTCCTTATAGCGTATTTGCACAGTCCTTAGAAACATCAATATCTCCTGCAATATTGCTCCAATGTTAACCGAAACAAAATCTGCCCTCGCACTCTTCTCAGGAGGTACAAGGGTTCCATTTCCATGTGTGCTGGGGAGGGTGGGAGTCAATTGGTCTAGAATGTGTGTGTTAATGTGGTCAGTTGAACCCAGTGCAGGAGGCTTCCCCCTAGACAGCTGTTGACTGGGTTGTGGTCCTACATGCAAAGCAGATTCTGGCAGGACTGAAGATACGGCTTGAGTCCAATCCAATTGTAATTGTTTTTGATTTGGAGAATCGGGTTGTGTCTGTGGTGAGTCGGCAGGTTGTACTGAAGGGATATCTTCCTGTGTACCACTAGATAATTCACTGGTCGACCCCTGAATTCCCGAAGAACCTTCAACGCAACGACTATTTTCTTCTGACTCCACATTTGTATAACTGTGGCACTTCTCGTTCTCGGGGACAGATGATAAGTGTGTGTTTTGGTTTCCATTTCCTAAGTAATTAAAGATAGATGTTCCTTTTGTTTCCTGATATAATGGAGGCAGTGTATCCTCTTGTCCAAAGTATTGCTGTTTAACAGAGTGGAAAATCGAGCATTAATACACCAAAGCATTAAGACACAATCAGATAAATGTATTCTTCTGTATCCAATAACAAGACATTTAAGTGCAGAGAATTTTATAGCCAAACAGTAACATCCTATATATAACACTGAACACCTGGCAGCTATTTCCTGTTAGCATTAACTTTCATTTACTGTTATTTCCTTGACCTGACCAACTTGATAGCAACGCACAGTATTACAATTAATCCACTTTGAAATACTCACAGGGAAATATTTGTCCCTGAAGCTGGGGGTGCTCGGAGGTGTCCAATTATACAAAGAACCTTTTCTGCTGGACACAGAGTACTTGTTGACTGAACCAGACATCGCAGAAAGCTCATCAGTGTCAAACGGACTGTGGTAAAGCAGAAGGCAGAAGTGAAATTGACAGCAGAACTGAGATTGAAATTAAGATTTCTGTTTGATTTTATTTTTAAGCAAGCGTCCTTAACTGCCAAATCATATTTTCGACCTATTGCAGGTGTGGTCCATTTTGCAACAACACTTGCATTTATATAGTGGGGTAGAGTCCCGTATGAAGGGTGTTATATTACAGTTATCAGAGAGGCCTCATGAACCACTCCTCAGCTAGGAATGAGGACAAAATGCTGAATAGTATTGTATTACTGTAAACAAATTAAACTTGCCTAAGACAGTAACTGCTTTTCTAAGGAGCCCCCTCCCCCCATGTCAACTCTCTGAGGAAAAGAATCTTCAATTTCTATATGTAGTCCGTTGGGTTTTAACTTTAAACTCATGTTGTTTAGCGCCAATCTAACAGATAGTTTACTCAGGACTTTTTGTATTGATTGGATGCACAAACCATGCTTAGTCAATATGCAAAACGCAGTATAACTCAAGGTTTGTGACATTCAACAACACCATCTTGTTTGCACAATGTACTTCATCCATTGTAATCTTATGAATTACCTCTTTACCTCAAATTACAAATGCAATCTTGGTGTTGTTGTTTTCTTTCCACTCGCTTATAGCTATTTTATTTTTCGAATTTGATCCCTGCTCGAGCTTTTTATCAAAGCTGCAAAGTTTACATTCTTAAAGTCACATGTCGCATCTGTGTTATTAGTTTCGGTCTGAGCCTATAATTCGGTATCAAATCTTACTTTACATTGATCGCTGGAATCCAAGCTTCACTCACGTCCAAGTTGCTGATCAGTTCTGGTGAATTGCTAAACACAGTATCTACTACACCATCTGCTTTCATAATCTGTCTCACATGTGTCAAGAAACAGTGACCGATTATTTCTGGGTAATGTCTTGTTTGTTCCTCCCTTCTAGTTCTCCCCGGCCCTGACCACTTTACTTCTGAGAAATTGAAATCCCAGTTGATCGTAACGTTAATGATTTCCTGTAGCCTATTTTATTTGCTTCTCTAACATCTCTCTAGCCACTTGTTCAGCTTTGGCACAGGTCAGTTGTAGTTGACATTTACTGTCCTTTTTTTTTTGTCCTTTGTCATTTCTGAATTCTACCCACATTTCTTCAGCCATAACTGCTACTGTTTATTGTCCTCTCAACAACTGCTACGTCCTCTCTTACTAACAGAGCCAGTTTCACGAGTCAATTTTTGTGAAATATTTTACACCTTCGTAGCTCCATCTCATGGCCATCCTCCACCCTCAACCTTGGTTCTGTGATAGCGGAAATCACAATCATTTCGCTGTCAGCGTATATCTCTCTCACTCTGAAAGTTAGTTGCTGATACTGCTGGAGTTCATCTCAAAATACTTGAAGCTTATCTTTCAAAGCATTCCTTCCCCTATTTGATATACATCGGTATATTTTCTTTTCCCATTTGCCTCTGAATTGCAACCTCTCACATCACCCCCTTGATCAGCTACAGGCCTCGGGCTCATTCTTATCTACAGAGTCAGAGACCCTCCAAATCCAGTTTAAATGAATACCATTTGGTATTTGTTTGTATGGATCCCTCATGCCAAAACGTAGTTCTCCGCTTAGTTTAGGTTCAGCCTTTCCTCTTCCTTCTGAAGGGACAAGCCACAGCCCGAATGATATTTTTGTCATACAAAGGATGCCTTTTTAATGCAGATCATTGTTAAGCAGAAGTGAGGAGCTCAGCTTAATAACGTCACAGGTGGCTGAAGCTCCTTTGAAAGCAACTGAATCAGACATTTGAGTGGCATTTAGTGCAGCGAGTCAGTGGTGCTGCTGTAACAGAATGTTACCTTAAGGTGGCAATATTGATCTGAACCTTCTCAGTGAAAGGCTGAGGCTCGGAGTTGCATCAGATTGAAGAAAAAAGGGCACTTTCACAGTTTATAACAACACATAGTGGAGTGGGTTACGACTAACAAACTACTCCGTACTCCCACAGCAACTGGATGAAGAATTGCAAAGTCAGCAAAAACCTAATGCAATAATGTGTAACCGCCGGCATTTTAAACTAAATAAGCCAGTAAAATTAAAAGTATTTAATAGCGTTCGAGTTATACGTTCTTATTATTTTTCACAACAACCTAATTTAAAGTTGTCCCCCTGTGAAAGCCCTACATACATCATTAAAATCATCAGTTGCTGGGTTCAGATAAGCTGATAGAATATAGAAATTTTGTTTCGAAGCTCTACTTTGAACCCCTGGCGTAAATAACAGAAGGAACAGTGGGCTCAGGTGAGGTCTGAGAATAAACCTGATCCCGGTCAAATCAGACTGTAGCCTCTTTCTCCCAACGTCTGACGTATTGCTCCATTTGGGTCGGAATGAATTCTTGAAAGGCTCTATCTTAATCCTTGCATTTTGACGTAGGTTCTTATTCTGCAGTCGCAACGTCTCGAAGCGCTTCACAGGAAGCACTGTGAAGTGTAGCGGCTGTGTAAAATTCTATGTTGATCACCATACAAGAAGTTCAACAGGTGTTTCAGGAAGCTTTCATGAGTTTAAGCAAATCGTTTACAAACGTGTACATTTATTAGAAATCGCTGGATATGTCAATGTGCATTTTATGTGAAAGTGTTGCTGGTGTATCAAACTACACATCGCTTTATTTCATGATAAATCATACATTTTTTCCAAATTCCCTAACCCGGTTCTTACTTTTATTTCTTGGAGGCAACTCAGAGGTCAAGCACCTGGGGTTACTTTGTCTTTTCTGATCGGGGATCGGGCTATGTTGTGCTACAAATATCCTACCTCTATTCCAAATATTTTATTTATAATATAATAATAATAATAATCCTTGCATTTGATATAGCGCTTTTCATGTCAGGAGGACATCCCAAAGAGCTTCACAGAACACACTGTAAAGTGAATTGACTGTATATTTGTGGGCGAACGCGGCAGCCAATTGCGCACAGCAATGTCCCACAAACAGTCGTAGATTGAAAATGACCAATTTATTATTGTTTTGGGTTTTGGAGGGATTATTATTAGGTGTGTGGAGTAAGGAAACTTGCCCAAGGTTTCGCCCTCTGCCGGGAATTGAACTCAGGTCTCTCACTTGCAAAGCGAGTGCTCTAACCACTGAGCTACAGGACTCCACAAATAGATGCACAGGGTTTTAAACGCAGTGGATATTACTATCCCCTGGAGTGTAAATTCTTACAGGAGGTTTTGAAAAATTCCTTAAAAAATTGCTGATAAAACAGATTAACACACATCCCTTGTGTGTATGAACTTTTATATTCGCAGTGAGGTTTTGGAGAATGAGTGGACGGCTCTTTATCACATTTGTTAGCATTGGCTGTTGAGCCACACTTAACCCCCCACTAAAATGATTCAGTTTCAGGAGATTCCTATTAAAACATGTGTTAAATAACCTTGGGCCAAAGCATTAAAACGTTTCTTTCATAGTGGTCACAGGTTTAAGTTCCAGCAGAGGCCAATAGTTTCATCTGCCTGCCATATGTGTCATTTGAAATCACTGCCTATGTCAATGTTTCAGCCATTCGCACATTGCACTTTGTCAAGAGAATATCATTCCAGTGATTCTAATGGATTATATATGTCCATTTTTCCATTTAATATGTTCCTCCTATTTTACAGTTACTTTTGCTTCCCATCTTTTACAACCTGCCCTGAAGATCACACTACAGAGTATGACCAACAGTTTCTAAACCTCTTCCTATTCTGACTCCAGAATCAATCATCAGAAGATGGATGAAGATAGTACAGGATACCGGCCTTTTGATTTGTCCATTCCCCTGATCTCCAGTTCCTCAACAGCCCTGGAAGATCATCCCTATGTAGCAAATTGCGGATGCAAACCCATGTTTTGCCACTTCAAATGACGGTGTACTAGCAACAAAATGTGCATCAATGCTGCCACAGGGGATGAACCCTTTCTTTTGGATTTGATTATAATAGGTGATAACCTTACCAGCATATAAACTGTATCCTGACCCTTTAAACGTACCAAGACTATTTTGGATAAACAGCAGCCAAGATAATGGATGGCAGCTGTCTTCAACAAGTGGCACTAATTAGAATTGAGACGTAAAAGCTGAAGCTGTGTAGGAATTGGTTAAGAGGAACAAACAGTGAAGGGAAAGTTCAGGAGGGAACACTGCGAATTTAGGAGTCGCAGCTGATGTTTAGTAGGTAAGAGAAGCAGTCAAGTGTTTCATAGAAATAATAATCCTTGAATTTAACAGAGTGGCTTATGATATCACTGAAACATCCCAAAGCCTTCACAGGATTTACAAAGTATTTGCACAAAGCAGTGTCCAATAAACACCCACGAAGTGAACCAACAATTTGGTGGAATCCTTAACATCCGCCTACACAGTCAGGACCTCATCTGCAAGATGACACCGCTGACAAGTCGGTCAGTGTCCCCTCAGCACTGCACTGGAATGTCAGCCAAGCTGACGAGCTCAAAATTCTGCTTGAACCCACAACCTTCTGACTGAGTGCTATCAACTGAGCCAGGCTGACACATGTTGTGAAACAAGTCAGAGATCGTCTTAACATTGGTATAGGAAGCAAGCAATAAGTAGGAACTAGATAAAGCCAGTAAGGCAATTGGAACTGGCAAACTATAGCAATAAAGAGCAAAAGTATCCGCCACAAAATCGCTCAAAATAAATGGATAAAGGCAAGAGATTCAAACATATATAGGAATATAAAGACTAGAAAATGGACCTTCCTAACTGCCATCATTGTGTAATGGACCTAGACTGCCCCAAGCTAAGCAAGCAGATGTTTTGTGCTTCACTATTAAGAGAAATGATTCAATAATCAATCCTGGAGCAATACTGGAACATTACATTGATATTGGAGATGTTGCATTTAATCTGTGTCAAAGATATGGCTGGAAATGTTCACTCACAGTTATCAAAGGAAGAGTTCAGCCTCCGGCTGCAATAAATCAAGTTTGAAAGTTGATGTTCTTTAAGCACTCCAAGATGCTATCCCTGTGATGGGCATTATGTAAATGCAAGTTATTATTGTTGTTGTTGTTGAAAGCAATGCTGTAAATCCTGTGAAGGCTTTGGGATGTTTGAATGATATCCTATTCATATTAGGCCAACTGTGTGCAGTTGGCAATATCATACATTTGCTTTATTCCGGCATTGAAGTTCAACAATATGTAAGGATTGTAGGATAGAGATGGGATGTTTTACTGATGAGCTGGTATGCTTTAATACAGAAGAGGAATGTTGCTGAGGTTTATGTGACGTTGATGTTTAGATGTTTTGATGTATGTTGTGAATACTTCTACTATCAGCTGCAAATTTGCTGTATCTCATGTGGAAAAATAAGTGGAATCTGAAAGAAATTGATAATCCTGAGAGATTAAAATTTTAAATGCACTAATTTGTATCTTTGCCCTTGGCACTGTCAGATGTGGGTGGGGGAGAAGGATCTGTGGTTGCTGTGTTTCCGACAAAATACATAGGATTATGATTATTATTTAAATCATTCTGGATCCTGTCAGATTGTGCATGACAACTTGATATGTTGTGAAGCACACATTAATCTCATTTACACGCTCTGTGAATCTTTACATATGGATCCTGGACAGATGGAATAGCACATTTGTGCATGGGTAAAAAACATGCCTTTTGCCATGGATTTGCATGCATCCTGCATTTCATATAAAAATCGTACGTTATGTTTCAAAAATGTTTGTTTTAAACAAATAAAATCCAGTCACAATCATGTAGCTGGCATCTATATGTGCATGCAATTTATTTTAGATAATTACATTTACAATCACATTATATATCTATATATATATACACAAAATGGGATATTTCAGTTGCAACTTTCAACATAGGCAAATATTTATTTGCAATACATAAGTTAAAACATGCACGTAAATCAATGTGTTTACGCCAGTATTCAGTGATGATGATAGATCAGTTTGTTTGCAAACAACATCTTCTGTTTGTTAAAGGAATAAACTGGGATGACACTGGAGTTTTTAAGCTCTTACACTAGTGTGGTTAGGAGTTCAGGATCTCAGAGTGTGCGATGACGTATTGTGAATTGCCTTGGCAGCTCTCAGTTTGCTTGCAGAGTGTCCACACTTAAACACCTTACCCAAGCAAAGAGAATCGTGAACCGGAAAAGCATTTTTGGTCCAATAATCCCTTTTAAATTCTGATTTAATGGAATAAAAATGAATGACTATTATTAAGAAGTGGGAATTGAAAAAGGGCAATGTTTGAATGAAGCTGTGACTTTCTCCAGCTCAAGGTGGCAAGACTGAGGTCGTCACGTTCAGTTCTTGTTAGCACGTGGATTTGATTGTGTTTAATCTCCCAGGTTGCTTGTTCAGGTTTATCTGTTTGACCTCAACCTCAGTTCCAAAACCACATTCCATCCATCACCACGACTGATTACTCTATATTCCTAATCTCACCACTGTTGCTGAAACTCTTATTCAGCTTGTCACTGCCATGATAGATTTTCGTTATCTCAACTTATCTCCCTATCTCCCCTCACAACCTCAACCAGAAGTACTTTGATCTAAGTCCCGCTAACATTCTCATCCCCTCCAAACTTCTTGGCTCTCAGTCAAGCGATTTAAACGTCCTCACCGCTGTCTTCAAATCCCTTCAGCCATCATGTTCCTCTTTTCTGGAATTGTCGTCCAAAGTCACCACCTCTTTCAATGTTATTCTACCTTATACTTTATATAGAATAGTGTACTCGCGACTTTCCTCTCAGATGCACTGCATTAATACTTACTTCCACATGACTTCCAGTTGAAGTTTGATGGTGCCAAGTTCAGTAATGTCCACAATCATTATCTGAGGCTGTGCTGTGAAGAAGTCTGCACTTTCACAAGTCACTGTTCCAACCAAAACAGTCATCAACCCCTTCATCTCGGCCACCTACAGAACAAAAAGACTGCCCATCATGTGAACTTTCTATAATTCTATAGATATATATGCGTGCAACATCAGGTTCATTTATTAAGTACACACGAGGACAATTAAATTAAAATTCTGTTTAGTTTTTATGTGTGGTGCCATTATTGACGCGCAATTATAAGAGGCAAATCCAATTAAGGGTCAACATTGCCAAGGGTAATACATGTAACGCTGAATGTAATATTTACCCCCTTGTTGGCGGAGTAGGAGTGGCTTTGCTATGCATTTGCCCTATGTCAGGAATGCTCAGTGCTGACACTGGGAGCCCAAATTGATGAGCGTAAAATACTCAAAAAAAATGATATTCTTCTATAAATTTACAAACGAGTACCTTGATTTCAACATCTTCATTAATGTGAGGTAGGAACATCACCTCCTCTTCGTCCCACATTTGCCTGTCATCGGCCTCAATCCTTCCTTTTAACTTCCACCTCTGGCGACCATATCTAATCAATACCTGTTAAAAAAAAATCAAAGCTTTTCCTCCAAACAGACGGAAACGATACACAGAGCGCGTTTCATTCTCACCACTATAGTTGCACCTTCAAAACCTAGAGAAACCAGATCACTAATCTATGCATTGGGTAGTGTTAGGCAGATTCTGTAGGTATTATACGCGGTTACAAAAATCCATTTGAAAGGGTTTGACAGATTGCCCTTCTCACTGCACGAAATAGTATCATAACAGTATTAGCTTCCAACTGTGCTAGAAATGTAGCTCAATTCAAATGGGCAGAGCAAATGGAATTTTTTTAGTTTTTTTGCATAGAAAAAAGTGCACTCAGTTCAATCTGAAGTCACGAGTGGAATAAATGTGCTCTCGCTTTACTTTGGTGCAATGTTGACCTTTTCCCCCATACTTGCTAATTCAAGCACAGTGAGTCCTCTTCACTTATGTTCTTCCAATAAATTTGTACGCCTCTCAAAGGAAGCCAGGATTTATGTTCTCTGAGCACTGCAGGCAATTCTTTAGTACACAACATGATGTAAACAAATGAGGAATGGCTCTATAAACATACAAAAAGTTATGTGGGGGTAGGGGGGGGTTGAATTTAAGCTTCTGTATCACTCTGCAGTGGCATTATTTAGCGATCTGGATCTTATTAGTAATTCTAATCTTAAAATTCCCCACACAGCACTCTTTAAAAAGTAACCTGCAATGTGGTGTTCAGTGGAATAAAATTTCAGTGTTAATCCGATCAGAGAAGAGATCAATTATCAGCCTTAAATTCGCAAATTACTACTCTTGTTCTACGAGAAACGGTATTGTCAAATGACTGTCCGAGCTAGCAGGCTCCATGGGGCCATCTCACATAGCCTCTTAGTTTTACAGTGCAGACTATGGTGCTATGGGACAAGTGCTGGATTCGGTACTGAGCCAAACTCTGACAATAAATTTGTTACAAGAGTACACCATCCTCTCAGAAAGCAGAACATTTCAGACTTCTCCTCTTTATTACTCCCATGTCAACACCATTCCTCTGTTGAGTGCTCTGGCATTACAAATACTGTAACACAGGAATCCTGTGATAACTTCTGGGTAATTTAAAATTAAAACCCCTTTGCAATTTACACTTACATTTCTTTGAGCAAACATTAAATGTAACACAGCATATTAAATAATTGGCTAGGACTGTATAATTTGCGGCTGGAACAATTTGCAGCCTTTCCTGGTTCCCTATATAAGATGTATTGCTAAAATTGAAGCAATTATCTTGAATGCTAATCCAGCAGCATTGTTCTTTGGAGGGGAAATGAATAAGAAGACTTATCGGAAATACTGTCCACTGCTGTGGTCAGATAACACCAATGACAATGTATTTTTGGAAGAAACGATGTGTGTTTATCTGAGGTTATTTAAGGAAGAAATCTTTCCATAAATCTATGAGTAAGCTCAATAACTTTTAGTTAATTACAAGACCAGTGAAGTGGGAAATGCTCGATTCTGAATGTCTTTCCATTTCTAATACACCAGACTGAGACAGTCACAGAATATCTTTGGTGATGCTACATAGTAGAGGTCACCTTAAAGTGGTACAGAAGTATTGCAGAGATCATCTGTCGACTGGGGAATGGTGTGGGGTGAAAGGAGATTTAAAAGATGGAGAAAGTAATATGAAATATTAAGTTTGATAATTGGGTTTGAGTGGCCATTTATTTACAATACCAGATTTGTCAATTCAGAGGACTGAGTGTAAAACATCTATCATCTGGTCTCCAGTCTTCAACATAATGGAGAGTCACAAACCCATTTCAGTATAAACAAAATACAGCTTGAGAGTATGAAGTTCATTTTATTTATTTCCATGATTGAGTCTGCAGCTATTCAGATTCACAGCTGTTGAAATAGCCTCTACAGTCTGACCGAAACCCTTCCTGTGCAACCAACAATTAAATAAAAATGTTCGCAGTTTCACTCACCATTGAAAATGTGGAAGCAATTCTCCCATTGAGACTGTACAAGTATTTCATGCCAAAAACAATGGAATTGAACGCTCACCTCGTATTGATCTCCTGGACATAAACGTGCAAAGCCAACCAAACCTAGAAAAGCACATCGGATAAAAACAGTGACTGGTCAGGGTAAGAAAGCAATTCTGATTAGTTTGAAGAGATCAGAAAACATTGGGAAAGGCCAGGCCTTGCCATCTATTTCAACGTAACGTTAGCTATTTTGAAACGGCCTTTCTTCTCTGTGTTTTCTTTTTCTAGCTAATGTCCAGAAAGAAGATGCTCTCATCCAAAGAATTAACCTCTGTTCAGCTGAGAGTCCTCCCGACTCCCATACCTCAGAGGATGAACATACACAGGGTCGCTGCACACTGATGCTTCGACTTGTTCCAAAAATAATGTTGGCTGGCTGACCGAGAGTAAATGCGTTGGGTCTGACGTTTCCATCAGCATTAGCTGGGAACAGTGGTAACCTGCTTGTTACCAGAATGGTTACTGTCCAATCTGTCTGAGTGAAGACATGAGAGAGTTGAGGTTCAGGCAGCTCGACAGATTAATGGGATTGCTAATCGAGCTGGCTGCTTCATTTATTCGATAGTATTGTATTGAAGTTTCACTGCCCCAGAAATTCCTTAAATCTTTCATCCAACATAAATGACTAGTTACCACCCTCTGTTTAACAGTATTCTACATTGTGACAGCAGAAGGAAGTCTTCACCGTTACAGACAAAATCCACTCAGTTTAAAGCCACATTGATTATTCAGTGTCCTGTTGGTTCACCAATATCATTTGTTGTCATGCCTCCCATGCATTTTCAATTACTTTATTTCAAAAAGAAGTGTTACCTTTCATTCTGATGTGAAACTCTCCTAGATGAATCTCCAATGTCCTCTCTATGGCGCACATATCCTACAGCAAGGAAAACAGCAGAAGGATTCAACAACAACAACAAAAACAACAAAATTACATTTGTATAGTGCCTTTCACGTTGGTAGGATGTCCCAAAGCACTGGACAGTCAGCGTTTAGGACCTGAGCTGGAGGTCGGAATTGCAGAGGGTGGGGGGCAGGGGGCGGAAGGAGGGTGATCGAAGGCACGGTCGAAGAGGAGGGTTTTGAGATGGGACTTGAAGGAGGCAAGGGACGAGGCGAGGAGGAGGGACTGCAGGATGGAGTTCCAGAGGGTGGGGGCTGAGTGGCTGAAGGTCCGCCAGTCAAAGGTGGGGCAGGGGAGGCGGGGACATGCAGCAGGTCAGAGCCTGCCGAGCGGAGGGAGCGGGCAGGTTGGTAGGGGTTTAGGAGGTTGCAGCGGTGGGGGGAAATTCAGTTTTTATTGGGGAAAATAATTATGTATTTTTAAATAATCTCCAGTTTGACTACAAATGCCAATTAATACCAAGTGGTTACTTGCTATCTATCTGCCCATCGTTTAACCTGATCATTCACAAAAGAAAGGGCATTAAATGGGAATGCGATCACCCCTGTACTTTGGGGTTCTTACAATACACAAATGTTTGCTTTCAGGTGAAGTGTGCCAGGACTATTCATTAAACAGCCAGTTTATTTTTGCTTTAAATGTGCCCGAGTGTTTGTAACACTATCTAACTTTGAATATCTGTAAAGTCTAATAAAATCTTTAAACCAAACAGATGCTGAAAAGTAATATATGTTGGCAAAAGAGCGGTGGCCGTAACCATTGGTTGTGCAGAAATACCAGTTTCACTCCAGGCCCCACAATGAAAGCCAGAAAGTAATCTCTGGTGTGCTGTGCTATGTACTTAGTAGTAAAAGTCTCCTAGACAGATGAACTTATCCATTTACAGTAGAAGATTTATTTAGGCAGGAAACCGGATTACAATACAGGCTAACAGCTGATTTCTGGAACTGAAACTGGCCGAGTGTTTCCCATGAACAGCCCTCAGGAAACTACAGGGGTGAAATTCCACCTGGGTCTAGATTTACTCCATTAAGGTAGCATTTGAGAGGGTTGTGAATTAAATACAATCTTTAATTCTGAAGCTGTTCTTTTAAGGACCGTAAAGTTTAAAGTTAAAACGGAATTCAACAACTTTCCAAGTTCTGCACGCTTTGAAATGTTACGTGAATAGAGTAAATCTAGACCCAAGTAGAATTTCTAACCCATACAGGTCTTGAGATCTGTTTTTCTATAGACACTTTGGTCTTGCATTAGTTCTTGTAAACGTTTTTCTACACAGTGCAGTCCCTCAGACAGTTTCTCGTAGAATGACAGACAGATCAGCAGAACTTGTTGCAGAGCAGCTCATTATAGCTGTTCCTGGAATTGCTCACCGATAAGCGCCATGAAATATATCTCAAGTGTAGATTTTCCTCTGAACCAAAATAAGCTACATTTTTGCAACTGCTTCATAATGAACATGTCATTACATTAACTTTTACAATTGTAACTTAGTTTATTACATTGGCTTTCTGCTTCCATTGGCCTCAGTAACCTACTGTTGTGAGTGCAGAGAGTTTGCGAGTTGAAGTTCTTTTAGATTTTGTATCTTATATTTTCGCAAAACGAGCACATTTTGTACATTTCACATTAATTCATATCTTGCATTCAGGGTGTCAAACCTTTTCTAAATGCCCTGATTATTATTTATCTCCATTGACTTGCGTTATTTCAGTGAATGTCCTTAGGATTAACTGCCCATTTACACATTTGATCAACAGTTTCGAACCAGAAGTCATCTGACTTGGGCCTTTTGGAGTCAATTTAGCAAATCCGAATCATTTTCAGTCCAAGTTGACCAGTCCTCTCAAGTATAAAGCAGACAGAACCAAAAGATACCCTTGTGCTTACATCTGGCCACTTGTTTATATCTCACTGCTATAGCTTGAGCCTTAGAGTAAACAAAAGCAATGTACTTTGATATTTCTCTTCATTCCTTTGCAATAAAGTGGTGGGAATCAAAGCCTGATTTCCAGGAATCTAATTTGGAGGAAATCTGATGCCTTGGCAGTCTTGTTGGGTGCATCTATTCTTCTTTGGATTATACTTCTGACTATGAACCCCTCGATGATCCAGTGATGGGAACTGGAGAGTGGGTCTGTACTTGATCCATGAAATCCTTATCGGTAATGTTCATTTTTCCTGGTCCAGTTGGTTGATGGTGGGTGTTTGTGACTAATCACTGCTGGTACATAGGGGAGTGTTTTCCCAGTAAAAGGCTGACGTGTTGTTCCAAGGCATGCATGAATTGTCCAGCAAACCCCGAGGGTTACAGTAAAGATTGGATGTTTAACTTCAGCTTCACATTCGTCCAAATTTTATGAATTCCAAGTGTAATGTTCATTGGCATTTCAATGCAATATTGTAAACTCGAGTATCTAACATGAGTGACCAGCAAAACCCCATTCACACAGTATTATGAGAAGTCTCGAAGATGTGATGAAGTGCTATATCAAATACAAGGATTATTACTAGTTTATAAAGATGAATTGGCTGAATATTGTTGATGCATATCAAACCAGAACTTTGCACTTTCCACCGGTGAATTATTTATTATAATAATAATAATCCTTGCATTTGACTACAGCGCCTCATCATGTCGTTGAGACGTCTCCAAGCGTTTCACAGAATATACTGCAAAGTGAATATTTTGTGGACGAAATTTATTATTTTACAGTCAAAACTGAAGCGCTCCAAGATGTCAAGAATGGTAACGACATAGTGCGGAGCAGTGCTAGGTTTTACGGGATTTGGCCAGCAAGAGCAAGTATATTTTAAAAACAAACTGCAGAGGTAATAAAATAATGCTGTATTCTAAAGAAAATCCAAGGTTACCATACCTCAGAACATTCCTTGCAGTTTCTGTTGATCTGTATTAGACTTTCTCGGGATCCTTTGGTAGAGGGAGACACGGAGTACGCTTGCTTCATGTTGTTGGCTCCATCACGGAGACGCCATTGGATGCAATAGGACTCGTGCAGCTCTTCGATCTGGACAGCAGTCAGTTGTAATAATGAAAGGTTCGAGAATTCAATACCAGCTCCAGAGACTTTCTTCCACAACATTTAGTAACGATAATAATCCTTAGATTTAATATAATGTGTTTCACGTCGGGGGGATGTCTCAAAGCACTTCACAGGATTTACTGCGTAACGAGACTGTGTAATTTATACAAAAAAAATCTTTGCATTTTGTACAGCACCTCATCACGTCATGGCGATGTCTCAAAGAGTTTCATAGTATTTTAATGTGAAGTGTAGTGACCGTGTAGGTGAGCACAGCAGCTAATTTATATACAGCAATGTCCCATAAACAGGCATGAAGTGAATAACAAATCTTATTTGGGGGATTGTGGCCTGAACACCTGGAGAAAATCCCTTTTATTTATTATTATTATTACTACTTGGTCTGAAGCTCGTTAATATTCATCTCAATTTAATTAGTTAAAACTAATTAATATGTAGGTTCTTACCCTGCTGATGTGAAACTCCAGTCTCCTGATATACCTCTCAGACATCCTGATTTGCTGAGAGAGAAGCACATTCATAAAAACAGTGCAAACTAGTAATTAACATTGATTACCATCCTGTGTAAACACGATGCTCAACCTAAGGAGCATTATGCAGATTATACTGTAGTCTGACAGCTGGTGCTAAGCAATCAAGTACTGAAATTTCTCAGAGATTAAGTGTAGTCTTACCTTATCTAAATCGTACAAAAAGGCCTGGGGGTGGGGGGGAAATAAGAGAAATATCATTGTTCTGGCTTTAACCAACGCAGCATGATCATTAATTTCAAATAAAGAATATACTGTATATATGGACATCACACCAGCATTGCTGAGATAATGGTCCGCCCTGCCAAACCCATCCATTACCCCCTTTCCTTATCAGCATCCATAACCAGACTATCCCAGCGTTATGGTGAGAATGTGATCACTTCGAACCTCGCATCTTGGTGCAAAAACTATTCCACCCCACTGAAGCAATACAGTTTTTGGGCCAATTGATCTTATTTGGAGAATGTCAATTCAGAAATAACTCTCCCTTTGATTTACGTCTCCCATGACCTTCTTCCAACCAACCCCACCGCCCACCGCCCCTCCCAGTTTCCCCCGTCTCCCCTACCACTGAATCCGTACCCCAAAAGCAGCTAACCCATGCTCAATATTCCTCATAATATTACAGCTGACATCAGGGGAGTGGGAGAAATTAAAGCTACACCTCTCCACTCAATGGTTCCACTCAAACACACTCCGCTCCTGCGTTGCTAGTTTCTGTGTTTCCACCCCCCACCCCCCACCACCCCCCACCCCCCAGTCCGTTCTGAATACAAAAGGCAGACATCTGATACATTTTGTCGAGACGTGTAACTCAAGGTTACCAGCAAAAGCTCTTTGTACTTACCAGTCTGGAATTTCTCTTCATATCTTTCTGTTGCATTGTTAGCAGGTCTAATTCATTTTGATCAGCTTCGAGATATTCACTGTAACGTAATACAGTTACTATTTTAATCTACAAAAATGCAACATGTTCCAATAAACTGCTTTGCAGTCTCGTTCTCTGTATTCGTAACATAAAGAATGGAACGAGACCAAGTCAAGAGTTCTGCCCACCTACTCAAACTTCTACATTGTATAATTGTGCATCCTCCAAAGGTAATGAAACTAAAATTACACAATGTCCTTGTATTCCTACCGCCGTCATTGAACTCTTACCTCCTTCAAGGCATTTGCGTAAATATGGTCAGGACATTCACTTACAAAATACACGGTCATTACCGCAGTATATCCTGTGAAGCGCTTTGATACAACCTCCCGACATGAAAGGTGTTGTGCCAAATATCTGGATTATTAATGCATTTTACTGGGAACACTACTCTACATGTTCCAGCTTTGCACAAAACTGCTGTGACATCCAGCAGTGAGCAAACATTCGAAACGTTGCAAGGACATTGACACAAACATTGATAGCTGAGCCACAAGCCTGCTTTAGCTTGAATAAATCAGTGAAGCTTCAGTAAAGATTCCTCACAAGTGGTGAGAGAGTAAGTCGTGCTTTGTGCGGTTATTTTAAGTGGTGCTTTACAATGTGCAAAAGCTCTCACTTCAGGCCTTTCCTCAACGACTTGTATATTTTCTCCACGCGTTCAGGCTGTGGTTCCAAACTGCTGGTGTTTTTGGTTGGAGGTCCAAGGTTTTTTGTTGATTTTATTGAGGGTATTCTTGTCCTTGAAGTACTTCTGGTGACAGAATAGCCTCTGAAAAGAAAATGGCAGCATTGTTAATTCATTCCGAGTAAACAGAGGAGATCATTGAGAATCTGTGCTGCTTTTAGTACCGTGACTATCCCATGCCTTTGCATTAACAAGGGACATTAGTATTCTTGCTGATGAACAAATTGACCCACATTCTGTAACCAGACACCACAGGAAGGTTCCTTTTATACCAAGAGACAGACTTCCATGTTAAACAGCATGTGCCGTAGGCAAGTGTTCACCAAAGTTCACCTGCTCAAATTCACAGTGGAACGATACTGTTGTCTATTTTTATCTTTTCCCCGGGTTCAAACAAACTATCGTCTTACAGCACAACTGGGTTTCAACTTTGTTTTTAGGTTCACTGGAGAAAAAAACATTGGCTTTTCGTAACTTTCCCTTCCTGCCCAAATCATGATCCTGATCTTCTTCCCCTTAGAAATTTACAGCACAGAAGAAAGCCATTTCCCCCATCGTGTCTGTGCTGGCTCTTGTAAGTCCAATTTCCCTGCCCTTTCCCGATACCCCCCATAGCTCTCTCCTTTTTAGATATTTAGGTACTTATCTCTTTAGGAATTTCTCCACATTAATAGATCAAATACTAAAAAAAATGTTACAATAAAATCCGGCCACTAGCATTGCTTGTATTATTCCTCTCCCAAAGTACACAATATTTTAAACACTCCAAGACACTACCCTGTGTGAAGGGCGCTATATAAGTGCAAGTTGTTGTTGTTGTTGATACACTACTGTTGGATCTGTACTGTCAAAGTACAAAAGAGACCAAACACTGAATTAAACCACCCTGTGCTTTTTTTTCTTGTATGCCATGAAAAAGTGGGTTTCAAGCAGTGATCTAACCTCTGGTTTCAGATACCAAGTTATGAAATCCAAGATTGTTTAGTTTATATTTATGACGTCCTTTGATCCCATCAATCAAAGTAATGCCTTGTAATCGCTGCCTGTTAGTTCACGTTTCTCTTTCTCTCTCTCATGCGTAGCTGTTACCTTATTCTTGTTTTAGTCCCAAAGACAGGATTAGGCAGAAATCCCTAATTGTGACATTGTGAACTATCAAACATTGCGTGAGCAAAGCTTTCTCTCAACGGTCTAGATTCCTCCCATATTTATCACATTCAGTGTTTGACATTTACTCAGTGTAATGCACGGAGATGATCCGCAATTGAAAACATATGTACAATTTGTAAGCTACAAAGGAAATTCGGAACCGAAAGGGTTACTAAACATAGCATGTGTGTTGGGTCATTCCTTCCAGGAATGTAATTGCAGTCCTTGCCATACGCCCCCAAAATTCTGGAGGATAATAATTCTCCTTTTTCTTTAGCTTTATACTACAAATAAAAACATACTCCATAAATTCCACAATTTATTTATGTGTTCTGTAGTCAAGATTTTCATTACACACAGGTCAGTTCTAAAGAAAACACATTTCTTTGGTTGCATTGACAATCAAGGGCTGTTTTTCTCTCAATTGTGTTCATTCTTCACTCAATATTCTTTACTAGTATTCTCTATATTAGTTTTATCCTAGGTCCCCTTGGCAAGAGTGAACACAAGGTAACACAATGTAGAGAGCGTTGCCTTCTTATCCCCAAGAGCAGAATAAGATAGCCATTCTCCACTGACATAATTCAATGGCATATTAAAGAACGAAAATGGTTTCATGAATCTCTGCTCTCCTACTATGTGTCCGATTACTCATCAGTTAGTTTCGATCCCAACTATGAACATCTCCCTACTTGTTCTAGATTGGAATCTATCTGGGCCCTTCATTGTCCAGGGCTACAGGAGACAGAAGGAGTCTATTGCCAGTGATATACCTAAGTGAGGTCTGCAATGGTTGAAGTGCAGACGAGCTACTTTTTCAATCAGCTACAGAGAGATTCTAGGTACAGCCAAATGGTTTGCAATGGCCTTGATTAAACCGATCGTGGTAACCAGTCCAGAACATCCAGATGCACCAGTTTAGAAGACGTTCGTCTTCAGATTTATTCACCAGGCAATCTAGAGGGAAGTGCATGTGCAAAGTTCGCAGCGCTTTGCTTGTAATGTTCTTGAGAACACTGCACGTCAGCACATCCATTAAAGCAGTGATCGATCAGTACAAATTGCATGCGGTCTGTCCAAGCCTGTGTTTAATACAAATCTACTCCAACGCTGCCGTCACTTTGGCAACGGATGACTTGCGTTTTGGGTGGACAGATTTCTAACTTTTTTTCAAATTTCCGAATTCCTTTTTAAAACAATAACAGTGGAAAAATATGACCAGACATAATCTGGGCAAAGAACTAATGCTTAAGTGGGAATTGATGTCTTAAATGTTTTTCTTACAAAAATAAATGTGTGTTAAAGAAATGAAAATAGTTATTCAAAACCTACTCTCCTAATGTTTTCTTAGTTACTAGTCAGGTATTTTAATAAATTGAGTAGTTTAGATAATTAATGTTGGAAAATCCACATTATATTTTAATAATATCCTCCTGACACTGATGTGGTGGATCACATTGTTACACACACAGTCTTCCTATCACATGGAGATGAATAGACCGAATCATCTGTTGTGCAGATTGGGGGCTTACATCTGTATCAAACTACTGGTGAAATGTTGCTTTTAATTGAGCTGTTGAGACAGAAGTGGCTTAATTTTTGCCATCAATTGCTTTGTTTCTAATCTAAACATTTGGTTATGCTTTAATTACTTTTTTTTTTAATATATTCCTATATCTTCGTGCCAGTTTATATAGTGCACTGGATTATCCCACTTCCCAACCTTTTATCACAGAGAAACCATCACGTCTGCCCCAGGTGAATGATGCATTTTAAGTAAAAATGTTGGTTAAATTGCACAAAATATGATATTAAATCCGGTATAAGAAATAATCCTTGCATTTCGCATTCCCTTGCAGTTGATATAGTGCCTTTTCACATCATCAAAACAACTCAAAGCACTTCACACGATAAACTGTAGAGTGGATTGACTGTGTGTATTTTGTGGGCATAAGGTCCACAATATTATGTAGATATGCAGTTGTATAATTTATGTGATCTATCATAAGAAAGAAACCTTTGACAATGGCTATCTCTTATGATTACTTAAGAAATATATGGAACCCAAACTGTCTCACTCTCCAATCCAGAGATTAAGTTAGCCACCACCAGGGAGAAAAAATAATTGGTCTTGGTTAGCTTTTATTTTTCAATTTCTGCTCACTTAGAAAGTCGTGAACTGAACGAACCTGCTGTCTACACCCACTCCACATTGACTGTGCCTCAATTACCCCGGCAATACTTACTGGGATCTTCTGCGTGCCATAGAACCGAAGCCAGTGAACGACCGGCTGCGGTTTATCCCACTTGGATCAGCAGGAGAAGAAAAGTGCAGTTTCACAGACATTATTCCCAGGAACTTGGGTGCAGATCCTGTGGTAGGAAAGAGACAGTGCATCAGTACCAGGGCAGTAAACAAAAGCAGTCTCCTCATTGTCCCATGAATGAGGACAGAGAACAGGGATTCACTGGAAGCAGAGATTGTTTCCACTTGGCTCACACTCCTGTGCCCAGTTGGCTATTGCATTTCGCCCACAAAATACACAGTTGATCCACTTTACAATATATTCTGTGAAGCTCTTTGAGATAGCTCAACGATGTGAAAAGGAACTGTATCAAATGCAAGGATTATTATTATGGTTTCCTGAGTAACCATTGAGTTCATATGGTCAAGTATTAAAAGCAAACTACTCTTGTTTATATAAATTGGGATCTTCCAAGAATTATTCTGACGTCTAACAGACCCTGGCACTGAGGCCAGAGCATTGGATGCCGGAGGACTCCAGGTCACTGGTGCTGTGACAATTCTATATCTTTTTCATCCAAGACTTATTATCATATAATTCTTCTATATAAGAAATACTCGAAGGGGGTAGAATTAATATGCAAAGCATTCATGCAAGTGGACTCCCCTGATAGATCACAAACACTCAGGAGAGTTGGAAATATTATTATATTTCGTAACGCTCAATACTTTAATATTTCGTAACACTTTAATCTGTTTGGACCAAAGATTTTAATGTGTATTGAAATATTACAATGGGTACAATTGTGAGGATGATGGCTGTTTTAATAATCTTCCTAAAGTTGTAAGATTATCTGTTGCTTTTGGTCGAGATCATAATAACATTTGCATTGCATGAAGTGAACTATAAGGCCAAAATGACTAAAGGATTTCACACATAATTGAGGTCAGGTGTAGTAACAGTTACTCGAAGGCTAATGTAGCAACCATTTTGTGCTCAGCAAGGTTCTGCAAACAGCCATGAAGTGAATAATCAATTTATGTGGAGGACTATTGGCCAGACACTGGGAGAAATTCTCTTCCCACTGGAGCTTTCTTCTTCTGAAATCCCTCTTCCAAAAAAAACTTAGCTTTTACTTGGCTTCAATTACCTTTTCCTTTCTTGTTTCAAATGGTGTGATGGGATCTTTAATATCCAGCTGAACAAATAGACAGGACCTTGGTTAACTTCCACATGTATGCGGATGACACCCAACTCTACCTTTCCTCCTCTACTCTCAACTCCACGACCACCGATGTCCTGACAGCCTGCCTGTCCGACATCGAGTCCTGGACGAGAGACAACTTTCTTCAGCTTAACGTGCGAAAAACCGAGGCCCTCCTGATTGGTTCGCGGCAGCGCCTCCGCACCTCAGGCGCCGACACCATCAGCATCCAAGGCCGCACTCTCCACCTCTCAAAGCCAGTCAGGAACCTCGGCGTTTTGTTCGACCCTGAGCTGTCCTTTCTCCCTCACATCCGCACCACAACTGGCACCGCCTTCCATCACCTCCGGAACATCGCCAGACTACGGCATTACCTCACCCCTCACGCTGCTGAAACCCTGGTTCACGCCTTTGTCACCTCAAGGCTGGACTACGGGAACTCTCTCCTCGCCGGCCTTCCCGCCACCTCCCTCCACAAGCTGCAGGTCATTCAGAACTCTGCAGCTCGTGTACTGTCCCGCACCAGGCTTCGGGACCACATCACTCCCACCCTCACTCGCCTCCACTGGCTCCCCATCCCCCAGAGGATTGATTTCAAGATCCTCATCCTCACCTACAAGGCCATTCACGGCCTCTACTCCCTCCTACCTCTCCAACCTACTATCCCCCTACCTACCTGCCCATACCCTCCGTTCCTCCGGCTCCGGTCTGCTCCACGTCCCCCGCCCCAATCGCCCTACCATCGGTGGTCAGGCCTTCAGCCTCTCAGCCCCGAGGCTCTGGAACTCTATCCCCCAGTGCCTTCGCCTTGCTTCCTCCCTCTCCTCCTTCAAGGCCGGTCTCAAAACCTTTCTCTTTGACCGAGCCTTCAGCTCCCCTCTCGACTCTCTTCCCCCTTCTCGCTCCCTCCCTCCCCTCACCCTGACCATTTCCCCCCTACTCGCTCCCTCCCTTCCCTCCCCTCACCCTGACCATTTCCCCCCGCTCGGGTCATGACCCAACTGTGCAGCGCCTTGGGACGTCCTCCTGACGTGAAAGGCGCTTTATAAATGGAATCTTGTTGTTGTTGTTGTTGGTGAACTGAAGGATGGCCCCTCTGACAATCCAGCATTCCTCCAATTTTGCTTTTGAGTGTCAGCTCAGACCAACAATAGTTTGGTACAATACAAAATAGTGGACAAGAATCTACAACAGCGATGACAAAATTACATTTGTATAGCGCCTTTCATGTTGGGAGGATGTCCCAAGGTGCTAGACAGTCAATATTTCAGACCCGAGCTGCTGGGTCAGGATTGGGGAGGGTGGAGGGCGGGGGGGGAAGGAGGATGATCGAAAGCACGGTTGAAGAGTCAGGTCTTAAGTTGGGTCTTGAAGGAGGCAAGGGAGGGAGTGAGATGAAGGGACTGCGGGATGGAGTTCCAGAGGGTGGGGGCAGAGCGGCAGAGGGTCCACCTACCAATGGTGGGGTGAGCGAGGCGGGGTATGTGAAGCAGGCTGGAGCTGCTGAGCGGAGGGAACTGGCAGGATGGTAGGGGGTTAGGAGGTCGTAGAGATAGGGGGGAGCAACACCATGGAGAGCTTTGAAGGTGAGGACCAGGATCTTGAACTGAATCCTCTGTGTGATGGGAAGCCAGTGGAGTCGGGCGAGTTATGAGGGTGACAGGGTCGCGGAGCCTGGTGTGGGAGAGGACATGGGCTGCAGAGTTCTGGATGATCTGCAGCCTATGGAGGGAGGAGTTGGGGAGGCCGACAAGCAGTGAGTTTGCATAGTCAACCCTTGATGTTATGAATGTGTGTATGAGAGTTTCGGCGGCCTGCAGTGTGAGACAGCGGCAGAGCCGGGCGATGTTGCGGAGGTGGGGGAAGGCAGAGCGGGTCATGGCACGGATGTGGGGTGGAAAGGATAGTTGAGTGGCAATCTAATGTATACGTCCAGCTCTCTATACGTCCGTTTCTCTCAGTTGGGCGACGAAATTTTTGTTATCTTCCAATGGGTTCAGGATTTCCCTTTAAATTATGTTACAAATTAGATCTCATCGACCATGTTTTCAATGCTGGAAAAGTTTTAAAAATTTGTGGAATTAGAGTCTTGACTCCTGATCTCAGCTGGCTGCACGGTATATCAGCTGTCCCTCATCATGTATCTTTCATTATATACTTAACGCTTTCCACAGAGCTGCCAAGACATAGGGGCAGCGAGCAGTAATAACAAGATCGCTACTTGATTATTTTTTACATTTCTCACGTGGGAAAAACAAGTCAACAGGAACGGGAATCAACCCGAAACGTTACTTGAGCTACAGAATTCGTCGCAACTGCCGTTAAAACGAGGGATGGATGGGACGATTCATTCAGTATGTAAATATGCTTTGGACCACAGTAGTGTTTCTGTACCATTTCTGTGACCAGTCATAGGAAGGAATGTGAGCATAGCCCGGGCTGACTCACTCTCATTTTCCCTCTGTCCCTGTGGGGAACAGTCTTGCCTCGTTTTCACAGCCTCCCCCATTGAGTTGGCTGAGATCAGGAAGTCATCACGTGAGGATTCGTGGGGGAAGAGCCTGCATTCCGGCATTCCAATTGGAGACCTTTCTATCCACAAACATCTGGACAATCCAATGCCAAAACCAACCTGATACCCCCTAGAGTCGTCGTGTTTCACAACCTTAACTCTTTTCACTCCTTTCGTGTCAGTGAATCCCTGGCCAAACCTTGAGTTCAGCTCTTAACCTCGAAATATCTTTCAATTAGCATCCTCATCACTGTTCCACTTTATCATGCGTCTAGCATAAATAGACTTAATACTGGCGTGAGTCGTAAGTAACCTGCGGCAATATTTTCCATATTTCTGCATGATATAATGTCAACAGCTGCTAAAGCTGAGGTTGCTTTTCTTGCTACATTCAGTTGCAACAAGTACTTTCTCTGTTCTCTCTCCCATAACATTATTTGTTAGTCATGGAACTGGTTTAAATTTCTGGCTCTTTTTTTTCTGGGTTTGGAAATGAGTGCTTGTGACATTATTAAAGGACTCGGCTTTGAATAGGTATTGGTTTGGATTATGTTTAGGGAGCTTGCTCCTGCTTTGCCTCACCCCTGTAAAGTGATCCGAGATGTTATTCTACCGGAAAGGTGCTACATAAATACAACTTGTTGGTTGCTATTGGTGAAAGCAGCACACTCGGTTGAAGCAGAAACACTCCAACTGCTTGACTCTTGTCTGGATCATTTTGTGTGCAAAACCAGTAACTTACCTCTGGTCTTAACATATTCTCACTCATTCTCAATGTTCTATTTTGTTACTGTAATAATCTAAACACAGATTTAATAGAATAGTGCGAACTGGGCTAGTGCTGTATTATACTTCCCGCCTGCCCGCTCCACAGTACTTTGAATTGGGGCCAAAATAAACCAAGCTCTGATTTCAGTGTTCTGTGCACACAAGCCTTGACATCTGTACAACGCCTTGTCTTTCAATTTAATAACATTAAAAATGTTCTGTTCAGAAATCCCGGGGATGGTCCAAGAGCCTTGAGGGAAAATATCCAGCGTGATCAGCAATGGGTGCAATTAACAACAACAACAACAACTTGCACTCACATAGCGCCCCTCATGCAGTATGGCGTCCCAAATGTGTCCTCAACCGCACTGCTGCTGGAACTATCTGCCATGTGTTATCATGAGAAGCTCCAGGGAGATCACACTCTCTTCGCCCCAACTTATACTGCACATTTAATGGTGATTCACTACCACACTTGGTCCATAAATGCAGCACGAACATTTTATATGCCCATCACTTTTTTGGGGGGCAGATATCGAAGTTGTCTTATTTTACTTAAACGTAAACTTTGTAACTCAATTTCAAGAGCGGTAGTGATGGTACTAACTAAAAATTAATGACGTACTTTTTTTTCCAACTAAAA